CCAGCGTGCAGGAGATCTTCCAGGTTCTGCTCAGGGAGAGGAAGGAGGCTGGGCAGTGCAGGGAGCAGGGAGGGCAGGCAGCCATGTGCCAGTGTGAGGTGCTGGGGCCAAAATTTTGTGTCCTGAGGGCGCCGGGACAGGGCAGGCTGTGGTGGCCATAGAGCAGAGGGTTGGCAGCAGGGAAGGGTGCTTTTCCCCCTGGATCATCCGTGATTGTGCCACATCCCTGCAGTCCCTGAACACCACTGCCAGCCCCGTGTTGGTGTGGCCTCTCTTCTGTGTGGGGAGAAGCCATTTGTGGGGTCTGGAGCCATCCTTTTTGGGGTCTAGAGCCATCTACCTGGCTTGTGGCAGGAGGGCTGTCCTGCTAATGGCCTCTCCTCTCCTCTTGTCGTTTGCTGCAGCAGATGACACGAAGTCAGCAGATGGACGAGCTCCTGGACGTGCTGATTGAGAGTGGAGGTATGCTCTGCTTCCCTCTTCCCCTCTGGGCTTCCCCTCCAGCCAGCATCGCTCTGTGGGGCTCAGTGCACCCCAGCAGCACTGCCTGGGTCGAGTACAGCTTCCCCTGCTCCCTGTGTGCCAGCACCCTCTGAGACTGAGCCCAAAAGCACATTGGCCCTCCTGGAGCCTGCTCCCGCCTGTGCCAGCCCGGTGGGGTGGTCTGGGCTGGGCTGTGTCCTGTGCAGAGAGAGGGGACAGCAGGGCAGGAGCCCTGTGCACAGCCCTGCCAGAGCCCCCAGTGTCCCCCCCATTCCCAGTGCCATCTCCCCAGAGCACTTCTGCTGCCCTCCCTGTGCAAAGGGCTGCCTGGGCCCTTCCCGGCCCCTTGGGGACAGCTGCCAGGGCTTTGTGGCCTGGGGACTGTGTCCAAACCCGGGGATCAAGGTCAGAAAGCAGGAATGTGCGGAGCTTCCCCCAGGGAGGGTGGGCAGGCGGTGCCAGTGGGATTGAATGGGGAGCAGGTGATGTCCAAGAGCTCAGCTGGAGGGCTGTGCTGGTGGGCACCGCCAGGGCACCTCAAATCCCTCTCATTTGTTGGCAGAAATCCCAGCCAACGCCAAGGAAGATCGGTCCTGCCTGCAGAAGGTCCCTCAGATCATGGTGTCTCCAGGGAGCTCGGGCGCCTCTGTGCCCAAGGGCTCTGCCCCGTTCGAGCCGGGCTCCTCGGCCCCGCTGCCCTTCGAGCACTGCCCGGGCAGCAGCGACGCCCACCTGGAGGTGCTGCTCAATGCCCACAGCCCCCTGGGCAGGGTGGGCGAGATGGCCCTGCTGAAGATGGGGGGTGAGGAGCCCCACTTTGAGGGGATGATGGAGGGGTTCTCCGGCAAGGCTGCGGACGAACTGCTCAACTCCCAGGAGATTTTACAGACTCCCCTGTCGCCCATGGAAACCCAGCTGTCCCCTTCCCCTGCCGAGGGCTCCGCTTTACAGATGAGTTTCACCGAGTCTCCGTGGGAAACAATGGAGTGGCTGGACCTCACGCCCCCCAGCTCGGCCAGCGGCTTCAGCTCGCTCACCCCTGCGGGCCCCAGCATCTTCAACATCGATTTCCTGGATGTTGCCGACCTCAACCTGAACACCAGCATGGACCTGCACCTGCAGCAGTGGTGAAGGGACCTGCTGGGGCAGGGTGCTGTGGGCCTGCAGCAGGCAGCACAGTGCTCCTGTCCTGCCACGGAATGTGCAGGGCTAACGTGCCTTATCCAGGGCAAACTGGAGTCATTTTCCCAGCATATAAACTTGTTTGAATTTCCAGTCACTGAAAACTGACAGCACAACTCTGGTACTTCGGTTTTCCTCCATTGACACAACCCCACAGAAGACACCAGTGCCTGAAGCAACACTTCCTTTGATTGACAAGAACTTCCATTTTCTTCCTCTAATCTTCCATCCCCCCCTCCCAGTCTTAGCAGTCACTCTTGTGAGAACTGGAGCAGCTCATGACAAGACTGTGGTGAGGTGACCTCACCTGGGTGGCAACAGGAAATCATGGAGAGGGAAGCCCACTGTTCTCCTCTCCTCTCCTCTCCTCTCCTCTCCTCTCCTCTCCTCTCCTCTCCTCTCTCTCCTCTCCTCTCCTCCAGGCAGACCTGTTGGGCTCATCTTGGCCGTGCCCATGCCAGGGTGAAGAGCAGGGGGCTGTGCCCAGCCAGGTGCCAAGCACCCTTCTGTGGACAGCCAGTCCATTGCTTCCCTCCTGCCCAAAGCTGCCCTGCCCATCCCCGCAGAGCTCTGCTCCAGGTGGATGAGAGGTGGAGATCACCGAGCTCACGGTGGCACCTTGGCATGTGCTGAGGGCTGAAAGCTGGGAGCTGTCCTGGCTGCACTCTGAGCCGAATCAGGCTGCAGCCTGTGACCTTGGAGCAGAGGGCTCTGGACGCTGGAGGCAGATGTCCGGGATGCAGGTGAGGGAATGGCGGGGACGTGGCACCCCAGTGGAGCGGCCGTGTCCGCGGTGCGCACAAAGACATGAGTGATGTGATTTGGCCAAGGTAGGAGCAAGTGGTGTGAAAGGAGCAGCCAGCTTTGGAGGGGCTGCTCTCTGCACAGCCAGCTCAGGGTGATCTCCAGCCCTTGCATGATCCGGGAGCAGGGGGAGCCGGGCAGGGACACTCAGTGACCGCTCGTGGGGCAGAGCCGAGCGAGCCCTGCTGTGGCCCAGGCTTTGTGTGAGTGCCTGCTCCTGCCATCCTCCCCTCCATCCTCCTGCCCGTCCCTCCTCCATCCCCAGCAGTCTTCCCCTCCTCTCTGAGTTTATCCAGCGTCACTGCTCCCTCAGCCCCGAGCAAGGCTACGGAGAACAGCTGTGAATCACCGAGCCTGGAGGAGCCCGTTCTCCCGCAGCCGGCAGAGAAGGAAGCTCTCCCGCAGTGATGCTCCCGTTTGGAATCACCAGCATTTCTCCTAGGAGTCTCTGTGCAATATTCTTCCTCAGGCTCTAGCAAGAAGGAGCCTTCGCTTCACTTCTTGGCTTCCACCAAAGAACTTGCTGCAGACTTTGCGATGGACGCGTCTGTTCGTCGCAACTCTGGTTTTGCCAAAGTAAATATTGTTGCTGACAAAGATTGTTAAACTATTTACAGACTGAGTGTATTTAATATTTGTGTTACTGGAAGGACAGCACACGGAGATGAAGCTGCTGGGAGGAGGTCCAGCCTGGCCGTGGCTCCCGTGGCGCTTCCCCAGGGATGCTGGAGCTGTGGGATTCAGCTCTGCAGCCCGGGCAGTGTCCCCAGTCCCTGGTGTTGTTGCATGCTGTATAAAGCACGTGGCAGTAGCTTTCAAGTCACTATTTAAAGCACCATTTTTTTCTATTGTACAAATGTCACAGGGCACTGCTAGGATAGACAATCACAGGTTGCATTTTTTTAAAAGAATTTCTTTTTCTAAGTGAGAGATTTTTTTGAAGCCAGTCTGTGGAGAATATTCAGAGCACTTGATCCAGAGTAGTATTAGCTGCTCCACTGAGGCCTTGTACAGAGTTTTCAGGTAACTTTCTCCTCTCAGCAAATGTATTTCCTTATTTAAAGGGATGCTGTCAGCTTCAAACCTGTAAGCAAGCACATTTCCTTACCTATGTTACCAGCAACACCTTCATTATTAAAACCCTTGTCTTGCCACTCTGTCTGCTCATGGTTTGCTGTTTGACTTCACCACTGGGACAGCCACAGCTCTCCCAGCTGCCACCCCCTGCTACCAGCTCCATGCCCTGGGACAGCTACGGTCCTTCAAGGCCAGATGAATTTCAATCGTGGCAGCAGTTTCTCCTGGAAATTTTCTAAACACACCAGCCAGAGTTTCCTGTCTTTTTCTTCTGTTGGCTCTGGATTTGCTGTGTTTTCCTGCAGACCCCTCTCCTTGTGTCCCCCTAAAGGCAGAGCTGACTCCCTGCCCTCGGTATCTTTGTCAGCACTGGGCTGGTGGCTGCAGGGTGCTGGGAACAGGCAGAGCTCTGCCACAGCCAAACCTCCCACTGCCCACTGCACAGCAGGATGGGACCCTGGGGGACCTCGGATCCTTCTCCAGAGCAGCCCCGAGTGTCTGTTTCCAGATTTGTCACATCTTTCCTTTGATTAGAGAAGGTTCCCTGTGTGCAAGAAGGGGCTGCCCTTGGGCTAAAGGTGAAATGGTCCTGAGACGTGGCTCAAGTGCATCTGGAAAGATGTCGATGAAGAAATAACCAGTTCCTATGAACATCTTCCAGTGTCTAACCCACACCCTGCAGCCAGGCTGTGATAAACAGCCTGGGCTGAGCCAGGTCGTGGTTACTCAGAGAATGAGACCAGCCTCAGCCTAGGAGTATTTCAGGAGCAAGCATGGAGTGGAGCAGCCCCCTGCCCAGTCTGCCTGCTGAGGAGAGCCTGCCCGTGCTGCTGGGGAGGCTGAGCCTCCCTGCTGTGAAAGGCACAGAGCAGAGGGTGGTGCAGGGAGCCTCAGCTCTGAAGGACAACACCCCTCAGGTGCCAAGGTATTGTAAATGGAGGTGAACTTAGGGGGAAGAAATGATGATGTCTGACTCTAGTTCAGAAGGTTGAATGATTTTTTTTTTTATTATAACTATGTTAAAATATATTAATATACTATATAAAGGAAGATACTAAAACTATATACTACTTTCTTTAGCTCTATATCTAACTCACCACTCGTGACCCTCTCTCGAGTCCAGCCCCAGGTGGGTTGGACTGGCCACCAGGCTCGAACAATCCTCACCAGAATCCAACCAAGCATCACCCCAGATAAACAACTCTCCAAACACATTCCACATGGGAAAAACAAGGAGCAGAAATAGAAATTGTTTTCTCTTTCATTTCTCTCTGTGCACCTTTATGAAAAATCCTGAGAGAGGGAGAAATGTGCTGCCACACACCAAGGTTTGGAGCAGAGCAGGAGTTGTTGTTTGGCCACACCACGTTCTCCTGATGGGAGGCAGGGGATTTGTGCCAAGACAAAGGCTTTCTGGCAGATGTCCCCCGGAATAGCCCACGGACAGCCCTGATGTTCCGTTTCCAACAGAAAGTGCCCTGTGTCTCCAGGAGAGGGAGTTTGTGCCTCTTCTCGTTCTCAGGGCACTTGCACAGCTGTAAACATAAAGGCAAAATACAGCTTTTTCCTTTTCTTGTTCCTCAGAGCAGTCACTCCATCTTTCCCCGGGCCCCTTACCACGCTCAAAGCCGTGGCCACGTCTGATTTTTGTCAGGAAACAAAGAAAAATGGAGTTGTTTTCAAAAGCAGCACCTAAGTGTTAACAGAATCATGGAATCACTGAGGTTGGAAAATTCTCCTGGCCCAGTGAGCCCACCCTGATCCCCACCTTGTCCCCAGCTCTGAGTGCCACCTCCAGGAATTCCCTGGGCACCTCCAGGATGGGCATCCAACCCTCCCTGGGCATTTCCAATCCCTAAGCCCCCTTTCCATGGGGAAATTCCTGCTGGTTCCACCCTGAGCCTGCCCTGGTCCAGCCTGAGGCCGTTCCCTCTCCTCCTGTCCCTGTTCCTGGGATGAGATCCCAAATTCCCCCTCCTGGCTGTCCCCTCCTGGCAGGGAATTCCAGAGAGGGAAAAGATCCCTCGGGATCCTCCTTTTCTCCAGGCTGAGCCCCTTCCCAGCTCCCTCAGGAGTTCCCCAGCCCCTTCCCAGCTCCCTCAGGAGTTCCCCAGCCCTTTCCCAGCTCCCTCAGCCTCTCCTGGAGCTCCATTCCCTTCCCTGGACCTGCTCCAGCCCCTCCATGTCCTTCCTGTCCTGAGTGTCCCAGAGCTGCCCCCAGCACTGGAGGTGTCCCAGCAGTGCCAGCACAGGGGGAACCCCCAGTAACACAGGCCTGAGCCCTTCATTTATACTCACCTGGCCCCCAAAGGAGAGACAGGGCTGGGATGAAGGCCAGGGGAAGTCATGCCAGAGTATTCAGTATTCAGTATTCAGTATTCAGAGTATTCAATACTCCACTCAACGTGCTCCTGACAGAACAGTAATGATGCACATCTGCATTCCTCCTGCTTGGGGCCAGGGAGGAGCAGGTTTGAGCTCATCCAAACCTCAAAGCTGCTCTTGGAGCTCCCCAGACACATAATAACCACAACAGAGCAGGGATTTTCTGGATGCTGTATGATGCTTGCTGAAGATCTGAGAAGCACCTCGGCCATGCAAGGCATTGGTGTGAGGTGCCAGTGTGGGCCACTAAGCACAGCCAGCAGCCAGTGGCTCCAGGTCTTCTGGGAGGCTGGTCCAAATATTGGCTCCTGAGCCTTGGCCACCAGGGCAGCCTCCGTGTGCTGGGACAGAGGGAGAGCAAAAGCTGGGCCGTGCTCACCTGGCCGTGCACCCAAAGGAAAATTCCCAGCTGGAGAAAGCCACCACACATCGCTCAAGCAAGGAGTGCTGGAATTGTCCAAGGGCTGGCAGGAGCAGCAGCACTGGCCCTGTGCAGGAATGGATCTTGTTGCAGACACCAGCAGCATCTGGGACGAGGGTGGGTTTTTCTGTGCTGCCTCAGCAGTGACACAGTGACAGCAGATCCTCAGTGAGGGCAGTGAAGTGTCCGCAGGCAGGAGAGATTCCAGAGGGAGAGTGGAGCATGAGTTCAGTAAGGAGCAGTTGAGAGGGACAGAAATATCCATAAAAACATTCCCTCCCAGGTGTGTGCTCAGATTTTGTCTTCTTCCTTCACCAAATGAGGGATCTTGGATGCTGATTGAAGAGTGAGGGTAGCAGGTGACCCAAAAAGCTCCAGAAAAAGGCTTGGTTTGGTGAGAACACAGAATGTAGGTGACAAGACTTGAGCTATGTGAACCTTTCACACTGCATCTCTACACAGCAAGACCTTCAGCTCCGTTTGTCTGCCCTGCCTTCCCTTCTCTGGACACAACTGTCACCCTTCAAGTGGTGAGACCCTGCAAGAGCTGGTGTCAGGTGATCACCCATTCCCAGCTATTCCTGATCCTGAGGTCAGGGTGCTCTGCTCTCCCTCTCTGGGTTACTCCTGGACTGTCCCATGCAGCCCAGGAGCAGGACAGGCTCTCGTGGCCAGGCCCTCTCCCCCAGCACTCTTCCTTCCCATTGCTGGGCTCTGTTCTGCCCACTTGGCTGGGCAGATCCCAAGCCCTCCACAGCTTCCAGGCAGAAGAGACCTGCCAGCAGCAGGGCTCACCCAGGACTCAGACCACCTGGGCTCTGCAGACCTTGCAGCCATCAGAGCTGGGAGCTCCAGCTGCCCCTTCCCTGCAGAGTGGGCACAGCCACCTGCCCTCCTCACAGGGACAAGGTGTCCTGAGCCACCAGACCTCTCTGTGCTGCAAAAAGTGCTCCCCTGAGAGGTGCCCAAATGCACCAGCAGTCTTCCAGAGAGAGAAAATACATCCAGAGCTCCCCTCACCTCCTTCATTTGGCACAAGCAGATCTGAAGGTTGCTTTCTTTTTCCAGGCCTGGAAGGGAGGTGCTCCACAGCTCTCAGTGAACCTTCCCGTTCACGTCTGACCTTACAAAATGAAAATAACAAGGTCACAGTCGCATCTTAGTTTTATTACAACTGACCTGCAGGCAAAAGGATAGAACTATTACATAAACACTCTGATCCATGTATAATAGCTTAAATAGAGGAGGAAGTCAAACCAGGATACCGGATAAAATATTCGGAAGCTCTTTGAAGCAGTTATGTTCCTGAGCTTCGTTTTACAGACAATAAGGCAACATCCCTGCACATCAGCTTTTTGATATTTTTATACATTTTTTTCTATGGTACAAGAAAAAAATAATAACCAGAATTCACAATGTACAGTTCTTAAACTATTTTCACAGCTTCTGAACACTATACACCTTTTTTTTTTTTTAATAGATACATTGCAATAAACGGTGCACCCTTAATAATTTATAATAATCTATGTTGAATAGGCTAAACCTGTCCTGTACAGCCACCCAGACAGCAGCACCTCCCTCCTGTCAGTGGCAGCTCAAAGCTTTGCATTTCCATTCCTGAGCTGGGCCAGCACCAGAGCACAGACCCAGCCATCCCAACAGGGCAGAGCAAGAGTGTTTTGGGAGGCTCCATCCAGTGCTGCCCTCTGAAAGGGTTTTGGGTTCCCTTTTGCCAAAGGAGAGAGTCACACTTCCACACCACAGGGAGAGGCAGAGCCTCACGTGTGGCTGCCCCTCCTGGCTCTGGGTCTCCTCACCCCCAGAGCCAGCAGCCCTGGGGACCTGGAGCTCCTGCAGCCCCATCCCAGGCTGAAGGCTGCAGGGAGGAATCACAGCTCCACGGGGTTTGCCTGAGAAAGGCTCTGGGGTGGGGACACTGCTTCAGACAGGCACGGTCTGACTGATCTTTATGCAGGAAGCAGCAGGTACCTCTGCTTTGCCCGAGGAGCAGCCCAAAAGGAACACAATCCTGGAAGGGCAGTGCCATCCAAGGGATCCCACGGTGCCAGCAGCAGCACCAGGACGTGTCCCCTCCACGGCAGACAGCCACCAGCTGGGTCCCAGGTCTCCTCCCAGCTGGGATGTGCTGCTTGGTCCTCACTCAGCTCTGCACAGGTGGCGTTGCTTGGACGTGGGGAGCCCTTCCTTGGGATCCTGCCAGCACCACGGTGTTTCCATTCCCTCTGTGTCCAGGCTTGCTGTTGAGCTCTGATGGGAGGTTGTTCTAACTCTGATGAAGTCCTACCAAGCACCTAAATCAGCTCCGAATGGAAAGCAGAGACCCTGCAGCCTCCATTTTATCCCTGCTACTAAACACCTGCAAACTGCAATATTTTGGGGGAAAAAAAATTTGGGGAAAAATTAATCTTTGAAAAATATGTCAATTAAACAAAGAGAAAAGTCTGATGTGCTGTTTCATTTAGGAATGGAGCAGAAGAAGCTTGCCTGGCCTTGCTAGGCCAGCTGAGAGGAGTTGGATGCTCCTTCATCTCCTTCTGCACCCGACAATCTCAGAGAGGTTTGCTCTGGGTGCAGCACCAGGAGGTCCCAGAGCAGGTTCAGTCCCCAGGTGGTGGTGAATTGTCTCCAGCAGCTCAGCAGGGTGGGCACAGCCCCGTGGCAGCCAGGGCCACCCCTCCATCCTGCCTGCAGCAGTGAGAAGGAAGAGCTCAGGTCTGGACTGGGACCAGGAGCTTTGGCCAGGGGCTGGGAGGGCTGGGCTGTGCCACAGGCATAGGCAGCAGGGCTGGGGACAGCAGGAACACAAGAAACACTCACAGGACTCACAGGCAGAGCTGGTGGCCCATTCAAGCAGCTGCAGCCTCTGTGGATGGCACTGGGTGAAGGCAAAGCAAAGCCAGTGGGTGGTGAGCACTGTGCACTATAAACCAGGTCAACAAGCAGGTTAAATTCAATCAAGTAGTTTAATAATTCTTCAGGTCAAAGGTCTTATCTTACCAGGTAACAATTTACAGGACACCTAGTTAAGAGTGAAGAGTGGCTGGCTTGGTAAAAGGAGGAAGAATACATTATGTCCCATCTCAATAGTTTAATGTTAGCCTCTTTCAACGCAACGTATTTTTGGTAAAGACATATTCACTATATTTAACATGATCTCTCTTTAACAGGAAGTTCAGCTGAGCACACTGTCCCCAGAAAAGTACACTGCGACTGTAAAGCAACAGAATTTCATAGCAGTAAATCTATTGCACTTTGTGAAGAATAAAATTCTCCTTTGCCTTTCCAGCTCCAGAAGGCAAAGCATCTCGTTGGTTAAGCAAGTTCTTCTCCCTCCAGGCAAAGTCTCTTAATGTTCAGACAGACAACACCTAACTTTTGTTTGTTTGTTTTTTATTATTACTTGAAACAACAATCGGAAGAGTTTGAGAGAAAAATCTTTCCAGTAGCTGCTGAGGAGTCTCAAAGTTTTGAGTCTAGAAATGAATTTTAGGTGCTATCCAATCACAGTCAACAAATATATGTACTTATTTCCACATTTCATGAATATGTCCACAAAAGAGCAAGATGAGGTCTCTCTGTGACCAACACTAACACTGTGTGATCAGGTATTACAGGGATGCACTTTATATGTGACAACAGTATACAGACAGGATGGAAATAACACCAATATTATTGCACATGGTGTCTGGGCGAGCATTAAAAACACTGCAATATGTGATGAAAATTCTTTACAGCTTGTTTTCTCTCAGCCCTTTTTCTAGAGTTTGATGTAGCAGCAGTATCAATCCACGTACATTGGAGAGCTGGGAGTTGCTGGCATTTGATCCAGGATTTTACAAACATAGCATGCAACATCCACTGTGCGTTCCTCATACATCAGGATGAAGGGATGTTTCTGGAAGCAGATAAAAAACACCAGAGTTATGGTCACCCTCCTGGCACGTGCCCCTCAGATGAAAACGGAGCAGGGGAATTTGTGTGGTGCAAGAACAGCCTTTGTGGTGGCTGTAGGACACAGGACACAGCCTGGTCCATGGCTTTTCCACACTGGGAATCCGTGTCCCTAAGGTGGGAGGTTACTGAGGCAGTAACCTCAGCACGGGACCCCAGAGTGCCAGGAGCTGCCAGGCAGTGAGGGTGCAGGATCAGCAGCTCCTCTGCAGCACTGACATTTCCTGAAATCCTTTCAGGAGAGGTTTCATCAGCAGCATGGCCACAGTGGGGAGAGTGACAAGGAGTGCCCTGCAGAGGTCAAATCAAGCTCTGCTCTCCTGAGCCCTGACCCTCTGCTCTGCCCAACAGGCAGCACTGGCCAGACTCAGATCAGAGCCGTTGGGACATAACATCAGGGAGGTGCTAGGCCAGGACATCAGGCAAATCCCTTTCACATCAGTGAAACCCCAGAGCTGATTGTGGAACTATAGCCTCTAAGAGGTGCCCTCCAGGTGCCCAGAGCTCCTTCAAGTTGCCACATGGGACTGATCCAAGCCAAAAGCATTGCTGCTCTCTCTCCTTCAGCATCCCCACCACAGACAGGCCCTGCTGCTGCCCAGCTCTGCTCCAGATCTCACTTCTGCCTGAGCCCAGCCCCATGTGAGCAGTGTTGGAGGCATTGAAAGATGCAGCACTGAGAACTCACCAGAAGCTCTTTGTACTTTGGCCTTTTGGACTCGTCCTTTGTAAGGCTAAGGAAAGCAGAGAGATAATTAGGGGAACGTGGGATCAGGGAAAATGTTACAGACATCAAATACAAGCTTTTACAGGACATGATGCTGTCACAGTGGGACACACCACCTTTGGTTTTCTGGAAAACACATCCTTGCACTGTGAGTGACCACAGGAGTAACCTCCATCCCTCCATCCCAGCTGTGCAGGCAGGGGCTGGGGCTGTGTCTCACACAAACTTCCTGCCATGGAAACTTCCCTCCTTACCCTGTCTCCTCTCCCTAGCACAGCCTCTCAGAGGTTTTCTCCTAATTCCTTTCCTGAAGAGCAGTTTCCAGGGTCTGCCCTTCAGTTAACCCACACAAATCCCCCATTGTGGATATTCTCAGTTCACTCAGAGAGAAAATGAGAAGGATTTTTCCCAGGCTTAGCCTGGCAGAAATCTTTCTCTTTTTCTCTCTGACTGAACTGAGAATATCCACACCTCATCACCTCCAAAGCACTAAAATGTGAGAAGTCCTCCCTCTTATCCTGGTGCAGGAATGTGAAAAGAAGCCAGGAAGTGCTGGACACTTGACCCTTGCCAAACACCAGCCAACAAAACGAGCCAATCCCAGAGCTTTCAGCAGCACACACTCACCACAAGTTGACGAAGTTGATGAAACTTGGGGAAAACTCCCTTTCCTCTGAGTTACTCAGCTGTGGTGGGTCTCCTTTCACTACCTGTGTCAGCTGGTCAAACACACTGTTCCACTTGGGGTAGGGGAATCGCCCCGTGGCCAGCTCGTACTGCAGGGAGACAGCAACAGCAGCAGGCACAATTACACCAGGGAAGCTCAGTCAGGGAAAACAAGGATATTGAAAAAATATGGATATTGATCTAGTATCGATATCCAACTGTGATGGACAAAAACTCTCTAACAGTTTAAAGTTAGAACGTGTCTGTTTATTCGACACCGGGCAGTATGTGGGATAGCTCCCAATCCACACCGTGGCTTCCAGGTGATGACAGAGCCCTTTTATCCATACAAGTATTGAATACCCAAAATTCAAATACACATTCATCATTTTGGTACAGCCCATTCCCCGCTTCCTATGCTAATCAATCCAAAAGCCATTCAGCAGGCGTGGTTTGTTCCTTGAAATGGGTCGGTGGTCCCTTTCATGGGGAGGGGTCCCAAAATGAGGAAGTCAATGAAGTCTTCCTCGTTCTGACCTTTCTACCTTTTCAATGCAAATATGACAAATGAACTCTTGGTAGAACTCCCATTCCTTGTCTTCAATTGGTTTCAGAACAGAGGAGGCCCACAATTGTCTTATGTTCCTAAAAGCTATTTGTCAGTTTGTGTATTCTTCATTATAAACCAGCTAACTAAACATTGTGCTGACAAGCAATCAATTATTAGTTAACTACTAACTCCTTACTTCATCAAGGCCTACTCATTTATTATTATTATTTTCATTAACTCTAGTAAGGCTTATTTCTAACTAAAATCTTAGCTCTTCTAAACTCTCTAACTCCCTCAAAGTTTACGTTCCAGCAGGGGCACAGCCCGACTCACCAGGGTAATGCCCAGGCTCCAGACGTCGGAGCGCACGTCGTAGCCCTGCCGCGAGGCGCTGGGGTCTATCCTCTCCGGCTGTGGGGGTGAGAAGCACCAGTCAAACCCTCTGTGCCATGCAGGAAACATCTGCAGAGCTAGAGAGAACCCTGAGCCTGGCACAGCTCCGAGCAAAACCTGCGGCCGGGGCAGCCAGCCAAGCCCAGCAGAGAAACATCCCAAGGAATCACTTCAAACGCTGATTTTATGGAGGTGAAGTGTAAAAGGTGATCAGAAATGGCCATTTGTCACAGTTCAATGCTTTGGGTTTTTTTTAACTTATGCACAAACATCTTGAATAATTGTGGCTGTCTTACTTACTTAGTTTTGTTCAACTTTGGGATGTCTTTAACACAAAGTGTCACTTTCTCTGTTTTCACAGCCAAGTTGTTCCCCCAAGGGAACATAAGAACTGGAATCAACATCTCATCCACCACTCTGGGGAGCGAGGCTTAGCAGCATCTACCAGAACTCTTCTCCATAACCAGCTACTAAGAAACTATTAAAACCAATGTGCTTTAAGAAAACTTCTCTAACAAGGTTTTAGTCATCCCTTGAAGGCAACTATGATGTTACAAGGCTTTAAGACATGCAAAATGTCTTTCAGAGAAATCAATATTGAGCCAGACATGGGTGATTCACACCTAAGAGCAGGTTATCCAGAGAGCTGAGCCAGCAAAAAACATCTTTATGCCTTGCATATCACCTTTATGAGAAACCTCAGTCTGCCTTCTTTAGTTAAAAATATAATAATTAACATGTCAAAAGAAACAGGCTTTCATTCAGTTTTGACTACAGCAATAATAAAGATACCTGCATAGCAATAAATTCTAAATGATGGGGTATAGGAAATACTTTGAAAGCCCTGGTTGCTTTATAAGCTACATTTTAATAAAATTTCATGGCAGACACAGCTGAGAAGTGCAGCAGCAGCTGGCCCAGCCCTGAACTCTACTGGGGACACACGCTGATGCCTTGAAGCTGCCACCACCAGCTCAGAACACATCAAATCATGGGGATGCTGGCCTGGCCAGTGCTGTGACCCACGGGGATGTGCCACAGCACAGCCAGCTGCCAGGCTGCAGATAAAGGAGGGGACTGCAGCTGCTCTGGGCAGGGCCAAGCTGCCCAAAGGGACTGGAGGGATGGGTGGCACTGGTGAGACACAGCTGGCTGTCCCAGGCACCCATACCCTGCTCCTGTGAGCAAACAGCAGCGGGGATTTGGCCCCAGACCATGGTGGCACAGCTAAAGGGAGAGCAGGATGGTCCAAAATAAATCCTATATAAATAGAGAGCAGGAAGAATGCTGAGAATTTTCCATGTAGATCACACAGGAGCAATTAACACCAACGAAGGAAGAGTCACCATGTCACACTCTGGGGGCCTGGAGTGAGGGCTGCAGACAAAGCTTGGCTCAGGCCAGGTGTCCTTCTGATGTCAAGAGCAAGCAGGAAAGGAATGGCTGAGGTGGGACCCATCTCTGGATGTGCTGATGGGTGAAGGGACAGGGGATGGATGTGTCAGAGAAGGGTACAGGCTGCCATGAGGCTTCTCCAGCTCAGTGCCCACCTGAGTACCAGCAGCTTGACTGAAAAACGAGCAGTGGGCACCACAGATCCTCCCTCTCTTCCAAACCCCAGCTATACAAACAGCATACATGGCCTGATCTCTGCCTGAACCACAAGACATCCAGCTGACCCTGACAGAAATGCCAGCAGCAACTGTCCACCTTCACCAAGGAGAAGTGAGAAGCCACAGTTTGCAGCCAGAGGCTGCAAGCTGACCTGGGAAAAGGACCTGAGTGACCAAGGATGGAGGTGACAGCATCACACTCCACTCCTGTGGAGGTCTGGAAGGAGCAGGGCAGGACACCCATCCTCACGATGGGTGGGTCTGCCCTCCACCCCTGCCCAAACCGAGCCCTTCCAGTCTCACCTTCCTCTCTGATACAGGCACTGGGTTCACTGGGGCATTCAGAAGGCAAAAAGCAGAAATGACACAAAGGCCACCAGCTCCAGCTCCACACTGAGCCCACTCTCAGCAGCATCCCCACAGCCAGAGGCAAGGCAGGGACCTCAGGGAGGACACAGGGCTGGCCAGGAGCTGTGGTGGCTGTGGATCCTCACCCAGAGCAAACCCCAGTGCTGGCACGAGCACAGGGCATGGTGAGGAGGGCTCAGAACAGCCCAGGCTGCTCCAGGGCCAGTGACTGCCTGGGAACTCAGTCCTGCCTTTCTTTCCTCCAGAGAACACGAGGTACCAAGGCTTTGGGGCCTTTGCTCACTGTAACAATTGCAGGGGAACTGAAAGCCAAAAGCAGAACAACCTCTCAGCGCCGCAGCTCCAAGGCTGAGGCGCCGCTCGCTGTGACAGCTCCAACAACTCTGGTCCAAGCACACAGCACTTGCTTGGCAGCTGGACATGGCTCCTGCTGCCTCCTGAGAGCACTCACAGCCAGACTGGCTGACACCCAGTGTCATTGTCACCAACAGGCTCCTTCAGAGCTGAGTGCCATGGGCTTGGTGAGCCTTGCAAAACCAGACACTGTCATCAGGGAGAAACATCCAGCAGCCCTAAGGAGAACCTCACTGGCTGAACAAAGCTACTACTCCTGGCTTATTTTACACTAAAAAAATACTGTTTTCCTTTTGAGAGGAGTGTGGCAGCCTGACTCCTTCCCAGGTATATGCAGTTTGATGACAGCATCCCTTCAGACATCAGCCTCTGCTGGCTTGGAGGAATATCTGGCAGATGTGCCCACACACTGGGGACATCTCCACATCTCCCAGGCTCCCTGGTACGTGGAAATGCTCATGTACTTGGAAAGGAGTCACTGAGGCTGCAGAGCAGCAGGGAAGAGGCCAGTCATCTCCCACATCACTTGCCAGCTGCTGGCTGCCCCACAAACCCTGTGCCCTGCCAAGGCTCTGCAAAACACAAACTGAACTGCAACACTTTTGCTCACTTAAAAGTCCACCCAGGTCTGGAGCTGCCAATGGAGCTGCACAAATCACAGAGTGCACAAAGACAGACAGGAGAAAGGAAAACCAAAGGGCTATGGAAGCACTCACCTACCCACATCCCAGGGGAAAGGGAGCACTGCAGATATTTACAGATATCTCAGGAACTATCATGGCATAACCACACCAGCCTGAGCAGAACTGACCACCCACCCATGGCTCAAAGGAAGATCAGAGTCAGGGCAGACAGGTTTTGCCCTGGACACCACAGTCAGAGAAAACCCATCAGAGAGCCATGGCTTGGGCCAGGTGGGAACCATGCCTTGGAAGAGAGATATTTGCCTTTTTTCTACTTGGTGGTAGATGAAAAGAGTTCAGAAAACAGTATTTTTCAGCATACAGAGTCATAAATCAGTAACAAAAAAATAAAGACAGGCATTAAAATTACAGTTACATGAAGAGCAGCAGGCACAGCTCCTTACACAATGTACTGGCTCATGTGAGAACAGAGATGCATTTTCAAAGCACCCTGAAGCACTGAAGTGTTTAAAACCTTCAGATAGCTTCCAAAATCACCACTACAGCTTTTCTCTCTGGGAGGGGGAGGGCAGCAAACAAGCAGGACAGACTCCCAGGAGCCAGGACTCAGCCCCAGCAATTTCCACGCAGCTGCTCCGCTACTGCTGCTCTCCAGAATCACATTCTCCTGGCATGAAGTTCTGGCACACTTTGGAATTCAAGTGGTTTACAAAAATCACTGAAATTCTGCTCTGCAATAACTCCCGTGACATAATCTTAGCAGAGCAAATGGATTTCTTGCAGAGCGAGACAAACCCACGCTCTGACAGCCCTGCTCCCCTGGGCAATGGTGTTTTGGAGCTGCTGGAAGGCACAGAGCTCCTCTCCACTCCAGCACCACAGCCCTGGCAGCAGCAGAGGAAGCCAGCAAAAACCCAGGAATTTGGACACTTTGCCACAGCAGAGCATGAGCCAGAGCTGTTTCATCCAGGAAAGGGGTGTTCATCCCACAGGAAACAGGCTGGTAACAGGGAGGGTGAGATCCCACAGAGCCCATCCCACTCACCGCCATGTAGGGCCGGCACCCTGCATCCCGCGTTTTGGCAATGGAGTCCACGAGCTGTCCGCTAATGCCAAAGTCACAGAGTTTAATATTCCCATTTCTGTCCAGAAGAATATTGGAAGGTTTGATGTCTGCAGGGGAAAGAAATTTCAAGCAGTAAGTCACGGCTGGAGGTTTGAATTTCAAGCAGAGCAGCTGCAGAGGATGGAGGCCGGCAGTGCCGCGCCGTCGCCGTCACCCTTGGCGCTGGATCCTGCATGGGAGCACGAGGGGATGGAGCCAGCCCCGGAGATGCCACGTGCCCAAAAGCAGCAGCAGATGCCCTGAAATCACACTTACATGGAAAAAGCACAGGCTAAAGGGACAACAGAACAGGCACACTTGTTCAAAACCTGCAGTCAAGACTCACGGCGTTACAGATGCTGTGATTACACTTTGAGTGAACCAGAGGCCACTAACAATTCTTGCTGTTATTTTAACAGATAAGAAGAAAAGACATGAAGTTAAAAAAAGACACAAAGAACTCACCTCTGTGAATGATTTTCAAGTTTTCTTTTAAGTGGTTTAGTGCTTTCACAGTCTAGGAAAGAAAAACAGATGAAAAATAAGCAGATGTCGTAAGAGTCCTGTGACTATTAAATTTTTGGAACTGCAAAAACAGGGTTAAAAGCATTTAATACATTGAGATATCAATGTTGTAATATGCCAGGCAATAAAACATTTTTCTCTGAACCTTTTCTGCAAACAGAAGGTGATATAAGAGAGGGTATGGGCTTAAGTGAACACACATCCCCTGTGAGGTGCAAAGATCCCACTCTGGGAGAGGGAGCAAGAGGTGGAGCCAGAATAATTTCTGATGTTAATTATCCTCAGCAATAACTTATTTCAAGCCCTATGCTACATTTTTTCAACAAGTCACAACTGTTTCAATTTCCTGACTTTTCATTAGGCCAGAACCTCCAGGTTATAGCAAGAAAACATCAGCCGGGTTCTCCAGTGCCTTTGGGAGCCTTTGCACAGGACTGCCAGAAGCTTCTCTGGTCTGGGCTGGTGCCTGTGCTGCTGGTGCTCAGGAAGCTGGTCCTGGGGTCCGTTTATGAACTGATTACTGACCCCAGAATCTATGTTTACACCATGCAACATACTGTGGAAAAGTCATGAGCGCCCTGAAGAACCATTCCCAGTGTGGTGCAAACAGCAGCAGCAATTCTGCTCCACAGACCAACCACATTTTCACATGGAGTGTGATCTGAACAAGGATCTGAACTTTTCAATTATCTTCAACAACAAGGTTTAACAAAATACTCACAGCTAAAGTGATTTTGCCTAAGATTTCTTCTGGAATAACATCATCTAATACACTATATACATATTTGTAAAACTTATCAAACGAGGTAGACATGAGCTCCATACAGATCCAACAGTCACCCTGGAAAGAGAAAAGAATGTGTGTTACTGTTGATATCAAAAAGAGAAATACAAATCCAGAAAGCATACAGAGATCTGTGGAATCCTGTGAAATACATTAACAGCAACATGCATTCTATAAAAAGGAGGAATTCAGCTTGATTCATTTCAGCAATGAAAGACTTGCTCCCATTGACAGCAGAGGCATTTACCTGCCCAGCTCACACCTGGCATTACAGTTTAGTTGCTTGAACACAACTGAATCCAAGCCTCACACAGTGTTTTGCTCTCCAGAAGGCTGCAGGCACAGTGGAACACCCAGAAGACGGGAGCTGCTTTCCTAGGAAGGGCTGTGTGGCTGGGGAAGAAGATTTTGGGTTACAGCCAAGGGCAGCTCCAGCTTACACTGCTCATTTGGCATCAGGCTTTTCACACCGGCTCAAGGCAGAGCAGGAGCTGATGTCATCTACTCAAGGGTTGCTACAAGGCTGAGCCCAGAAAACTCTCACTGCACCCAAAAAAAGCAGAAGATGGAGTAAGTGTTGTGACAGACATGGAAGCAGGGACATCACAGTGAGAGGCCAGAGCAGCACAGCAGGACAAGGGCATGACCAGCACACTTCAGAGGTCCTGGAAAAAGGTGAACCTGGGCTGCTACAGACCACAGGTTGGCTATGGAGGAAGTTGGCTAAGGAACTGTTCAGATTTAAACTACAGAAATTAAATTGGGCAATACATGTGGAAAATTTCTCTTTTCCACACTAGCAACAAAGGCAAAGTGCAGATGAAGCACTTCCATACAATGGAGAGTAGCTCAGGGCAAGAGACGTAGCTCCAGTGGCAGTGATGTGCATAAATCAAGTATGATTTGTGAGCTGTCTGTAGTGAGAGCAGCCTCTCTCTCATGGACTGGCTCTACTGGCCACAGGATCATCCAAAAACTGCTTCTGTTTTGATCAGATTTATTAAAGAATTGGGACAGGGCTATACTCCTGGGCTATTGCAGTGAGACTGTGGGGGGACAGGACTGGTTCCAGAGAGCCAGAATACCACAGACCATCTGCAGCCTTGTATTTATGTCTCAGCACTGGTGCACAGTACTGAGAGTGACTTCCACTGCCCAGGTTACAACAGCTGGTGTTTGGACAGTAAAACCAAACCAAGTAAACAACACTTGAGCAGAGCCATTGTCATAACCAAGGCTCTACATGCACTCTGCATCACAGGTTGGGATGGGTATGGTACTGAAACCTTAAATAAGTACAACATATTACTATCCAATGGTAATTTTTAAGAATTAAAAAAAACCCTTTTATTATGAAAAGCATTTAAGGAAATGCCTGATTTACATTAAAAATTACCATTTCTAGCCAATGGTAGTTTTTAAGCAATAAAAAAAACTCTTTTATGATCAAAAGCGTTCAAGGAAAGACCTGTTTTACAGGTGTCCTGAAGTAGATGCCATACAGAACTCCTGAATGAGGGTGTTTATTGATCTGGTAATAAAAAACCTACCTGCCCTACATGAATTCATGTCAGCAAGATCAATGGAAAAAAGTAACAGGCCTTTTCCACTATGCAGCATCCTTAAGGTTGGTGACAAGACCCAAAACTCTACAGGCTAACTCTCCTGGGACTTAGCCTTACCTGTTGGCAAACTGGTGAATTTTAACACAAAGGAAGAGGAAGACTGGCTGGGGACTCAGCTGTTTTCCTGACCAAATACCAAGAAGTGCTGATGCACATGGGCAAGTCCCACTCCATTGTGAACTGTGAGGACAAAACCACCCTAATAGAAGTTCCCCTTTACATTCTGCCTCTTAAATCAGGTTGATTTCTGATCATAAAATGACAAAAGAAGAGCTTTAATTTTCTCTTCGTGGCAGAGCTATTCTTCCAAAGAATGTATTTTAGTCTTCACTGGGTATTAGATTACCAGATGCTAATGCACATATTGTAGACATTCCAAAAAATGTCCAGGAACACCCTGTGCATTTAATTCAAAATATTCCTGTCCAGGACAGACACAAAAGCTGCTTCACAAGCAACAGAGATGCTTCAGCTGCTCCATGCAGAGAATTCCCATTGAGCAGGTGTCACAAGTTTGTCACCCATCTGGAGTGCAGCTCACCAGGAAGGGGCCTGTGGCTCCAGGTGGACATTAAACTGAACATGAGCCAACAATCCATCTTTGCTGGGCTGAAGGATCACAGCACGAGGCAAAGTGTCACCAGCAGGTGGAAGGAGCTGATCCTTCCCCTCGATCCAGCAATGGGGAGGCCACACCTGGGGTGCTGTGACCTGTGCTGGGCTCCCCACTGCAAGAGAGACTCCAGCAAAGGGCAACGAAGATGACTGAGGAACAGGAGCACCTTCCCCATGAGAAAGGCTGATAAAGCCAGGACTGGTCAGCCTGGAGAAGGCTCAGGGGAACCTCACCAACCTAAGGGGAAGCTGCACAGGGGATGGAGCCAGGCTTGCTCAGTGGTGCTGAGCAACACAAGCAGAGCAGTCTGACATACAGGAGGGGTTCCCTGTGAGCATGAGGAAACACTTTTTGTGAGGGGGATTAGTCACTGGCACAGGTTGCCCCAGGAGACTGTGGAGACTCTATCCCTGCAGAGATTCAAAAGTGATTTGGACACAATCCTGGTCAAGTGGCCCCACTTGATCATGGGGGTTGGAAAAGGTGACCTCAGAGGTCCCTGCCAACACCCACCACTCTGTGATGGAAATGCTGAAGGTTTATCACATCTGCCCACTGCAGGGGCAGCCAGCTCTTTCTGCAAGTGGCAGCTACAGCAGTGAGAGAGGCTGACAAATGTCACCACCACCACCATGTATTTACATGGCACACAGGACACCTTTCCTACAGACCAGGGACTGACAGGGGGACAGATGGGCTGAGGGATGGCAGCACAGTCAAGGATTTCCATAAAACCAGCGTGAGGTGCATCAACAGCAAACAACTGTGCCAGCAATTCACACCAGCCCTGCACTGTGCTACCAACACATCTATCCCAGCTCTTCTCTCCTGCCAGCAGAAGTTCCCCATGGGCTGATTTACCCAGCTTCCTGGGCATATTCTGCAGCTTGCAATGAATTTTTCATTGAATACTTTTATCAAGTATTGAACTTATTGGTTTAAACTTGGCTCAGCTACACTTGCACTGTGTAGGAGTCACTCCTGAGATCCCAAGTCAAATAAGGCTTCTTTCCTCTTCCCCTCTTAAAGAGAAACACAATCAGAACAGGTACTTTGAAGAGCCACTAGTGTGGGTCATGGTAACTACCCAAACATTCCCAGCTTTACAAGTACTGTTGCAAACCAGAGCAGCTGTAAAGCTTGTAGCAGACAGGCAGGTAAAGAAGACCATTTTTATTTTCTCAGACCTAAAAACCTCTTAAACCAGCCATGCTCAGGGCCAAAGTCTTGGGGGTCCCAGTGCAGCACTGTGGGCTCAGTCCACAGCTCCTTTCTCACAAGGAGGGACTCAAATGAAATGTTCGAAGAATCCCTGTCAACCAATTTTTAAATTTTTTTTCTTCCCCCATCTAGCAAATAGAGCCTTGAGAGGAAGCACATGAGCATGACTAGCCAGACCCTCTTCAATCAGATCTGTGTGCACCAGCAGGACTCTGGGCTCTCCTGAGTGCAGGATGGAAAAACCTGGTCCCTGGGGCCAGTGGGAGCCCCACAAAATTCAGTAAATGTAAGATCCTGCACTTGCATCAGGGCACCTACCAGTATAATGATGATGGGATTTAGAGCAGCCCTGAGGAGAAGGGCTGGGAGATAATGGTGAATGAAAAATTGGACATGAGCTGGTAACATGTGCTTGTAGCCCAAAAAGCAAACCATGTCCTGGCCATGGTGCACTGAAGCCCCTGGTTCCATGAAACACTGTCTTTTACTTTTTCAATTTTGTTCTTTGACCAGGCAATTTCATCTCATTTAATGGGTGCCAATGAGCTGAAGTCCTGTACCTGGCAATCAACTGTTACACATTCCATCACATGCACAGACATACACTGACAGAAATGTCCCTCCTGACTGAAGAACAGGCAGCAAGAGATGAAGGTTCGGGTGCTGCCTGCTGAGGGACAAGCATGGCCTAGAGAAGACTCTCCTATCACAAAATGTGGAACAAGCAAGAGAAAATACAACTACATAAATTTTTTGTGTAGTATTTCCTGCCTTTCCAAATCAAACTGCAGGTATTCACAGGAACTTGTGTTCACAGCTACTTCCCTGGCTGCTTATCTGGCTACAAAGTAAGACTTTGCATAATTTTACCCAATTTGGTTTAGTATTCCCAAACTCAGGATCCCAGAGCTTAGCTCTGCCTCTCCACATCAAACACTCCCTGTTGTGGAAGGCTGCCTGCCTTCCCTTTGTGCCAGCTGCCCTGCTGCTTCTCCTGGGGCTGCCTGCATCCTGCCAGCCCTCTGACTGCACAAGCTGCCTCTTCAGCCTGTTCAACTCCCCTAAAGAGGCTCATGTGAAGTCTTTCACCTTTTAGGAGCAGGCAAAGAAGATTTCTCACTGGTTGCTCCATCCATAGCCAGAGAACCTGAAACCCAGCTCAGGGTAGCGAATCCCAAAAGGATTTCCTTACTTTTCACCTTGAAGTGCTGGAACAAAGAGCTTTGTTTTATATTGTTTGCTGGAGATTTCCTGAGAGAGTTTTGGTCTTTACCAATGTCCCATGAGCTCTTACACCTCAGGGGATGGTGCAGCAGTGATTTGGATCTTTCACAGTTATTTGAGAACAGATCTGATAAGCAGATGGGGGGTCAGGCAGATCCAAACATCCTGGTGAAATTCCTTTTTTCCCTTTCTGTGCTTCTCTGATGTCATACCTTGCTATGTTTAGAAGATTAAGATTCTACTTAATATTAGAACAAGTAATTAATAAGACAAGACAGAAAACTTTATGGAAGCCTCCCAGCTCACCCTGTGTGCCCCTGAGGAATGTGACTTGGAGCATCCCCAGGCAGTGAGGGACCAAGGAGAGGAGCTGCTTTCATCTCTGAAGCAAACACCACTCATGTTGAAGGGGGAAAAGGGGATTTCACTCCAACCAGAGCAATACCAGCAAAACCTTTCCCAGACAGAGCATGCAAGGAGCCCTGGGAGCCCTGCCTGGCTGCAGGAGGATGAGATTTTTGGACATGACAAAGAATGAAGCCAAGCAAACATCTGGGTGCTGATTAAGGTAAGTTTTTCTATTGTTTATATTTACATTTACACCCTGGGATGTGTCCAGAGCTGAAAGGAGGTGAGAGGCTTGCACAGCTCTGAGCATGCTGCTCATCAGCATCTGGTAAGACACTCTTTTGTCCACAGACCTTTCCTCACACCAGCTGACAGCCTTGCCACCTTTATCTTAGCAAAGCTGGAAATTTCCAGCCAAGCTCCTACCACACATGGTAGGAGCTTGCACGGTGTGAACATGGACAATGCCTGCTGGCCCAAAATGGCTCTGTGTTCAAAAACATCAGAAAAGGCAGAGCATGGGAAAAGGAAGGATTACTATGCTTATTTTAGAGAATGAGATTTAAAGCCAGAGGAGTGACCTGGAAAAATTAGAGAGGCAGACTCTCTAGAAGCAGGAATTAAATATTCAGACACAGTTTTGGGTTTTACCTGCAACACTGACCTCCCTCTAAATGTTTTCCAGTAAAACCCCACAAGACTCTGCGCAGGCTGCTATGCCTGATAATCCCCAAAGACCACCTGCAGCCCTTAGGTCTCTATTTTCCTCCTTCCCTTGAGCAGAGGTACTGGATTTGTGCTGAAGCAATGGGAAACAGGCAAGGATTCCATGTCTGTCCCCCTACACTGTGGCAGTTTCAACAACTGAGCAATTACAGGAGCAGGGATATTCCAAGCCTGCAGAGGAGATACAGGAGGAAGGAGATTTCAACATTCATCTTCTCCAAAACTCCTGTTTCAAAGGGAACAAATGATTGCCCAGAAGTGCTGAGTCTCCTGGCTAAACACCATGGAGTAAAAGTGGAGAACCAAGAAATCTAACTTCAATCAATTTTCTCCTCCTTAGCATGAGTTTGAAATTACAAAGGGGAAAAAAAAAAAAAAACAAGGTAAAACCCAAACTCTGCTAGAAGTGCAGCAAGTTTGGGGTGCCCACCTCTCTGAAGAGCGCGCCATAAAACTGAACAATATACGGGCAGTCACTGCTTCTCATCACTACATCAAGGTCCATCAGAAGCTGCTTCTGCTCCTTTTCATCCACTGTCGACCGAATTCTCTGAAAGAGGAAGAGTGGCAGAGACTTCATCACTTCCATGCCATTACTGCACCCTCAGCCCTGCTGGTGGAGAAGAGTGACCAGGACCCCAAACCCAAGTGTGCCCAAAATAGAGAATCAAGCAGTGCTCTCAAATAAGAAATGGAACTGAACACTCCTAAAGCTGTTTAATCAGATTATAAAGCCCTCAGTCCTCACATAAGCATCAACATTTTCAGATGAAATGTCAGGAAGAAATTAAAGAGCTGAAATTTCATTGAAAAGTACAGCAAAACACCACATCCAGGCTTTCATTTCAAAACAAATTCCCACACAGTTCTTAGCCATGTTGGAAGGGGCTTGAAGACTGGTTTGAAATTTAACCAAGGAATATGATGTTTAAAATTTCTAAGCACAGAAGAAAAAGGCTCCTTCCACAGCCTCCACCATGGCTGGGGAGAAGGGACTGCCACATAACCCAGGGAACACATTTCTCTGGTAATGTTAATGATGGGCAGCAGCCCTGTGAGCTCTTCTCCTAAAACTATCAATCCTTCACCTAGTACTGGCTGAGGGAACACCAAAACAGTACAAAACATAGTTTATATAGCTACATACCCCATGTGTATATAGAGATATATATGTATACACACACTATACACTGTATATATTAAAAAGTTTCATTTGGGCTTGAAAGAACAGTGCACATTTGAAAACAGAAAATTGTCCATTTTCAAACATGAAACTGGTTAAATGAAGGATGGAGATGACCATACAATTTTTCATGTAATTTCACAGATATATTTAACATCTTGCACTAATTAATACATTCTCTGAATCACAAGTGAGGAAATCGTGATCCTGAAGCTGTGACTCATGTTGAAAAACCATTAAAAAAAACAAGTAAAAAATATCTGGCAAGAAATCCAAAGCAACAGAGGTAGCCAGGACCATCCTCAGGGACAAAAACTACATGGCTACCCATGAAAGAAAATTTATTCAAGCTTGTGGAAAAAATCTGCAAGATACTAACACCCATTTCACCAATACTATGGCCCCGTGGGCAACTGCTGGTGGCATCAGGACCACACACATCAGCCAGCCCAGGCTAGGTGAGTGAAGGTACTTTCAAAGCTGGCCATTTATATAGCACCACATGTGAAACAGTGCACCCTTATGCACTTTAGGACTTATTTTGTGATGAACCATACAAAACAAGGACAGTATTGACACTGTAATTTTCCTTACCTGTAGTGCATCCTGGTATTTTGGTATTTAACCACTTGCTCTTAATGTTCTAGCACCTCTAGTTTGGTCTAGACCAGTAAATAATATGTTTATATTGCCATTTTCCCACCCTGTGAATTCTAGAGTTCTTGGGGACCTGTCAAGAGATTTATCCAGCACCCACAGTCCATAATATCTGTGAGGTGGAGTTCTGTGCCACCAACAGAGAAAGAAGCAGCTCAACGGGCCAGGAATGGACCTAAAACACTTCACCTCCAGGTCACTGGTTCAGGTCTGTGTCACACGAGCTCAGCCAGCCACTGGCTGTGTCCTGCTCTCAATCCCCCCGAGAGGCTGAAGGCCAGCAGAGTGAATGTCTCTCTCCAAGTGACACACCAGCAGCACTGTGTGGATGGAAATGCCACTGCTCTGACCTCCAGAGAAGGTGATAGAAGCCAAAGCCACCACGGCGAGACCTACAACCAACAGTTCAGCCTCTCACCGAGACATGATCCACACTGAAAACGTCACCTCTGGTGAGGAACGAGAAGATTTTCTCCATATTGTAACTTGTGTTCTCCTTCTGTGCCCACTCCACGTCTGTCTCCAAAAAAGCCTCTTTCCTGGTCCTCTGAGACTTGTCCCAGCCCTGCTCTGCATTCCCCTTGCACCTGCACAGTCACAGCCAGCCCCACAGCATCCTGCTCGAAGTCCACCTCTTCTCCTCCCACCTCTGACATTCCTCCTCTCTGTTACTTCTCCAGCACTGCAAACCATGTGAAATACACTCTGTATGGTGGAGGTGATATTAATGGCACTCCAGAACAACACTGAACCCAAACACTCCTCTTCTCAAACACGAGCTCCCAGCAAGAAAGGGCTGGCAGAGCACCCAGAGCACAGACAGTGGGTCAGCTACAGGGCAGAGGACAGCTTGAGAAGCCAACATGGACATTACAACAAATACTGCTTCAGAGAGTGAAAGGAATGCTGTGATACAAATCTCATACAACAGTGCTGGAGACTGGCAAAGTCAAGAGAAAGGGAGAGCTCTGAGGAGCAGCATGCAGTACAGCACACAGACAGGGTCAGCCCAGGCTGGACATGGTGGCTCTGCTCAGCTGCAGCGTGCCAGGGAGCCTGCTGCAGCCCAGAACTCCCAGCTCAGCAGCAGAACAGGGAAGAGAGGAAAGTCAACAGCAGTCAGAACCCAAACAGCACGTGAGCCATGATACAGCCTGCCTAAACCCAAGGCATGGTGCAAAGCACTGCAGCAGCTCCCACAGACACACTCCACAAGAACATGGGACATGGCAGGGGAGGAAGACACAAGGTGAGGCAGCTGCTTGAAGCAGCATTTGAGACAGGGATGGACAGGGGCTGACTTCACTTCAGGCCTTACAGACCTCAGCCCAGTCACCTTCCTGCAGGCAGCCATTGACAAGTCACTGCTAAGTGACCCCACAGCCAAACAAGCCACAGACAGAAAAAGGGGGATTTGCAGTAGAAGCTTATGGAGTCTCCTTTTTAGCAATTCCTTGTTGGCCTCCAATTTAAACTGTATCAAATCCTCTTAGGATAAAATTCTCTGGCCCTTTTTATTCAAACACAGGTTAGGACAAAGCCTTTCAACACCAGGAAGAAGAGGCCATGCTCTGGGTAGCATCAACAGCAAAAGCACAGTCTCTGTGGATTGTGGCACCCTGAAACCTAAAACCAGGCAGATTCCAGAAACCTGACCCAAAACAGAAGAGACATCATGCAGCTCCAATATGCACACAGAAAGATTCAGGTGCAGCATGAAGTGACTGGTTGAAAAAAAAAAAANAAAAAAAAAAAAACAAAAAAAGGAAAAGGAATAAAAAAAGCTGTAAACACTGAACTGAAACTCAACTCCTTGAGCTGTGAGACAATCCAGAACTGCCCTGAGCACGGGGCTCACCTGTGTCCTCAGCAGAAAGCTCAGCACTGCAGTGCCTGGCAGTGCCATGGGAGGAGTGCTCCTTCCATGGGATGGCAGGGATTTGGGACAACAAACCAACAGCAAAAGGAGGGTTTGCCCAGTCCCTGTGAGGATGGGAATCTCTATCTCCCCATCTGAAACACGTTTAATGGTGACTGAAGTAGATCACAAGTAGCTTCCCACCTCCTGTGGTGAGGCTCTAACTCTTTCTCACCGTTCCTTTTCAGCTCTTACTCATCCACTCCCTCCCTAGCTGCCCTTCCAGCAGGACTGGGAACACTGGTTTCCCCAGCTCTCAGCCAGCAGACCTAAACAAATGACTGAAAAAGAAAATTCTGAAGGTGTCACTCAACTGTGTGAAGAATTACAATGATGGTTTGGCAATAAAACCCCAAGACTTCTCTTTGGAAGTCATATGGACAAGGAAAGGACAGAGAAACTTGCCCCTGGATGGAGCTCAATATACAAATGTATCATTCTGATGGGTCTTTATGGGCTATCAGACATCCGGGAAAGGATGGAGGAATCATGGAGGTATCAATAAATGTTAAAATTCTGCTCTCAGAGGCATTTGATACTTAGCAACCTCCTGAAGTTGTGAGACTGCCATTGAGAAACCTGAGAAAGTCAAACAGGAATTTCTGGTTTGAAGCTGTGGATGAGAGAACAAGCCCTGACTCCCAAAATGATGTACAAGACACACTGCTCAGAATAAGAAACAGCTCCATGGCCCGCTGGCTTCCCCAGGAACAACAGGGATCTTTTATGGGCCCATGGGTTTGACACTTCCAATTACCCAACTGATCTTGAAAATGCTTCTGATTTCCTTCGGAAAAGTTCAGAGAACAAGTGGAGCACAAATATTGTTAAACTAAAGCAAAAACTGTGACTGTAGAGGACACTGACTGTAACTGGAGGCTGGACTAGGCAATACTGCAGTGGGCCTAAGTCAGCCAGGCTGAGGATATTGGAAGGCACAGAAAATTCTGGCCTACAGATGAAAATCACCTTCTTTTGAGGTGGGGGAAAATTGAACACTGTGGCAAAATCACCCTCTCCCCAGATGGGTTACTCTTCTAGCTGAACCATCCCTGACAGAAAATCAATTCAATTAAAAAGAAGTGCAAGATGCTTCCATGGGGCTGTGATAAAAACCTTGAAGGTCAACCAAAGCACAAACCACTCCACTCATCTCTGGGTGATTATTTCTCACCCAGCTGAACTGATTGAAACAAAAGTGGGAGAAGCTGCTGATGTTGAAGCCCAGATGTCTGAAGTGTTCCTAGCTGCAGAACAGAAGAGGTGAGGAGCAGGTGAAGATCTCCTGCCTGAGCCTGAGGCTCAGACAGCCCTGCCAGGAACACCAGGTGCTCAGGACACATCAAGGGTTGACTATTGTAAATATGTTCTTATTTATTGTAGGAACTTTTCAAACAAGCAGCTTTCCCAGCCTTCCAGAGGCACTGTGAAGTACCCTGGCTAATAAAACCCACCATGTACAGCATTTCAGTGCAAAGCAGAGCATCCTGCTCTAACTGGAAGAATGCTCCCCAACTTTCATTACAGTTTGGGCTTTTTTTTTTTTTCATATTCCAGGGATCTTTTAGAGCATCCTTTTTGTGTGAACTCTCACCAGGGCCAAAAGGAAACCTCAGGCCACAGGCCAGAAATTACAAGCCCCATAAGCTGGGTGAGTTTTCCAAGAAAACACTTCCTCCAAGTAAATGGGGCTTCTTAATGTGCCTCTAATTTGTGATACCCTCACAGAACAAGAGTCTTTGGAGCAGCTGGGACAACACCATGTGGTGATGCTGGAGGGCAAAGACAAAAAGGGCTGGAGAATTGCACCTACTGTGGAGCCTCTCAGACCAAAGCAGGACAGCACTGGAGCAGATCCTGAGGAGGAACCAGGGCTCTCTGCACAGTGGGAAGCTCAGGACAATGGGCACAAGTCACTCTCCCAGGCTGTCACAGGCTGGGAAAAACCAGACTAACACAAAAACAAGAAACCAGGAGCAAAATCAAAGGATATTGAGTAGAACTGGAAGCCCAACCAGGCAAGATCACAAAGAGCTGGTGCAGCAGACAGACACCAGCCAGGAAATGAGATTTTTCTCAGGAGAATGAGGATCCAGGAAGAGAAACCTGACAAGGTGAGGATTCAGCATACAAACTTGCCTTGCATTTATTGGTTTGCATAACCAGATCTGGCACTGGACAAAACTGGACTGCTCTTTTTCTCACCTGGAAAAATCTTGACCTCATATGCCAAAAAAACCCTTAAGAAAATGAAAAGGGTATTTTCAGTGACAGGAAGACTGTGATGGCAGTTGACCCAGAGTAAAAAGGTGAATCTCCAGCAAGATCTGAAAGGAAGTGACCTTAAGAATGAAAGGATCGATTTTTATTCCAAAATAAAAATTTGGAAGACTAGGAGAACATAATGCAACATTTTCTAGGGGCAAAAATGAGAAAGGTTTGGACATAAATCCCCCTCTTTCCTACACCTCTCCCCCTCCTCCTGATAGCTGTAGGAAATAGCTCTCTATGGCAGAAAGCATAAGGGTGCACAAACAATTGCAGGTGGCAGCAACAGGAGGACCAGGTCCCTGCTCCTGCAGCCCACTCCAGCCTCCAGCCCGTTCCCAAAGAGGAACAGAATGTTTTTGGCATTAAATCAGTATTCACAGAGAATGACCAAGGCTAAGGGAGAGGGAGGAGCAGGACAAAAGCTCATCATCCCAGCCATGTTCCACCAGCTGAAGCTTTGCTGCAGTAGTTTTAGCCAGCAACACAACAAGGCTCATTTCAGGCTCATTTTCCTCCTTTTCTACTGACTCTGGAACACAGATGAAAAGCCTGACTCACCCAGGGCCTGGCAGCCCTGCCCATGCCAGGAGACTCATTAAAGGTACCAGGATTGCATCTGCCAGGACCCATGGGCTGATAGTCCAAAATGAGTTACAGGGAAAAATGAAAGAAATCAGTGCTTCCACCTGCAGATCTCAAGTTATTTTGGTGCTATTTCAGCCCTCAGGAATTGTTTTCCTTCAGGGGTAAGAAAAACTGGACATGCAGCAAAAAAAAGGCTGTGCTGGGGGCCCAGGAGCCCGTGTGCCCTGTGACACTGAACTTTCCCAAGCAGGAAAGCTTCAAGGAACTGTTCCTTGGGCAAAGGCAGGACAGACTACAAAAAGCAAGAGAAAGGAGCTGGGAACAAGATCTGAAGATATGCTCTGGCAGCCACACCCTTTGAGGGGAGCAGGATGAGTGACCAGAGGTGCCCAGCTGGCCTGGCACAGCAGGAGCTGCCTTCAGCCACAGGAAGACTCCAAAGGAGCAATGTTTGAAGCTGCACACCTGCAGAAGAAGGAGGATTTGAATATCCCTGTGGTAGAATGGGATGACAAGCCTGCTTATGGTAGCTGCAAGCAGGACACAGCCCTTCCAGAAGCGGGGTAGGAATTTCCTAACTGCACTGGGAATTTGCAGCAACAGAAGTGGAAATCTGGGGAGTGGCGGAGAAGGATGGAGGAGCAGCTGGGACAGGGCCCTGTACCAATTTTCTCTGCATCCAGTGAGCAGTACAGAACAGCCAACTTTTGGCTTGCAGCTTCCATAAAGCTGTTTTCTTGTGCTGAATGTCCTTCCAAGGATGCTTGGCCTGCAGCACTGGTGCTGCTCTTGGGGAAGCACAGGAGTGACAGCAGCAAAAGCAAATAATCAGACAGTGGCTCCACACTCCAGCTGTAAGGGGATCCTGCCACCTGCCCCCAGCACAGTGCCACACCACAGAGCTGCAGGTGCCACAGAGATCACAGGCAAGACCTCACTAAACTGACAGCTCTTCACAAAGCACAGTTCCCCTACCCAAACTTCTCTTCCAGAAGAGCTTTATGCCCAAGGAGAACACATGGCTGAAGGCAACAGTTCCACAGTGAAGGGACCACAAAGCTTGAGAGAAAGAGAGAGCAGGAGGGGAACAGTCCCCAGCACAGACAGATTACGACAGAGGAGAAGAAGATTAATGCACAGCCATGGCTGCCTCAAAAGCATCAGGAGGCTGAGAAAGGAAAATCTGAGGAGTGTGGGATGAACTAGTCACTAGCCCAAGCTTAGCCCCATCCTGAAACTTCATCTCAAAGAACTGCACCATCCAGTCTGGGGAATTGCTGCTGCTGCCTTGGAGGCTTCACTGACTGTTCAACCCATGTGTCTTCCTTTGCTCAATTTTGTGTTTTCTCCCCACTGGGACAAACAGAACAGTCACTTACCACTACTGTTTTAGAAATGATGCTGTTGCCCAAACCCTCCAATCTTTCTTCCCCGGCAGGCCCAGCCATGTCCACCCAAAAGAAATAGGGTCAGAGAAAAGAAGATGGCACCAGCCCAGCCCACAACTTTAACATTTTACAGTTTAGTCACTGTAAACAAATTGGATTTATTTGTTTAAAAGTGAGCCCCCAAGCCCAGAAGCCATCTCATCCCCTGAGAGAGCCAGCTCAACATGCTGCACTGTGCATCTCCAGCCACGTGTTTCAAGCACACAGAACTGGTGCCTTCTGCCTCCCCTATGGCTGTACCTGCACCACGGGCCCTCAACAGCGACAAGACTCACCTAGGGTGCTGAAAAGCCCTTGTGCAAACAGTGTGGGACAAGAGAAGCCCTGTGCCAGCAGACACACCTTCTCCATGACACGAGGCAATCCAACAAAGTCCTTCTCTGCACGGCTGTAGCCACAGCAGAGCTCAGGGAAACAGCCACTCCGCTCTGGGGGTGTGCCCCTTCACACCCTCAGCAAAACTACAGCTACCCAGGTCACACACCCTGAGTCTGAGAAGATGGAGGTGTCCAGGAATCATTTCACTACACCAACGTTTCTCAACCTGTCACCTGCAAAACACACCAAAGAGTTCTACCAAAGGCAACTCTAAAAAACCAGCCTTTAGCTACAGGTGACCTCTAGCTCCACTGGAGGCTTTCAGGGATTCAACCCCAGCTTGAAACAGCACTGCATGGTGACCAAAACCACTCAAAGAGACCTAACGAGTGATCCCACCACTGTGAGGAAGTCAGTATTTACTGGAGAAGATCAAAGGATGAGGGTTACTCCAGGAACCTGACACATTAGAGACAGGCAGGAATTACATTCAGAGCAGCTGGAGCTGGGGCTGAGATATGTCTGCTTGGCATATGAGACCAGCAGGGGCAAATGTTTCCAGATTGGATCAGGGAATATTCCAAAGAAGGCAGAGAGTTGGAAAAGACAGTAACACAGCTCCTACACAGCTCACTTCTGCTTTCTCCTGGGAGCCATAAGAGCATTTACAGTTGATATCATCGACAGAGTTAAAGATAGATGTCATTAGCAACCTGCAGTGAGCAAAGGAAAGGACCAGAGAGACAGAGAACAGCTGCTGCCCACCTCCATGGACAAGCAGCTCCTCAAAGATGCTCAGTGAGCAGCACTGCTGTGGCAAGACAGGCAATTATTGCCCAGCAGGCAGAGGAGGCTGTTCCTGATTCTAAGGTGAGTTCTGGGGTAGCATGAAGTAGAAAATGGACAGTCAAGAAACCTGCTACACCTTCCACCTCCAGGACAGTCTGACACGGTGAGCACAAAGCAGACACTCCATCATACATCAGCAAGAGCACAACATTCCCTAGAGGACATCCACTCCATTCCAGCTCCTCCTGGAGAGGCCACACCACGGCACATGCTGATATAAACAGCTAATTTTAAGCCATTACCTTATTTCACCAAAGACACCAAGAAGCTATGAGATGTGCCTACCACCAGCCTAGGCTGTACCTGAACCAGTGACCCAGAGGTGAAAGGCCCGTGCCCCATCATCAGTCTCCAGAGACGTGTGATCCCCTCAGAACAGCAGGCTCCTGATAGACATTTTGAAAAGGGCACAGCAATTATGAGAACTTCACAAATCACCTGAAAACATGCCCATTATACACTGTATTTTCAGCAAACAGCAGCCTTTACACCAGAAATAAATAGAACAGAGCAGTAGATGGGTGCTAGATGGAAGAACCTTAATTCTCCATCACACTGCATCCCAACGGACTACAGTACAAATGTAAGGATGGGCATCACCTACTTTAACTGCCATAATTTGCCCACTTGGTTTGTGGACCATTTTGTTGACAGAACCATAAGCGCCTCGTCCAATTTCTCCAAGGTCTTTCAAGTCCTCTGCTGTAAAATCCCAATGTTGCTCAGGGGAAATCTTCAATTTTCCTGATGATTCAATGCTGTGTGTTCTCAGTCTCTCTCTGTCAAAAATATTGGGAAGCAATTTTTCCACATTTTAAATAGTCTTTAAATGTCTCTTTTCAGCACTTGATTAAACATTAGAAGAGAGGGGTTCACAAAGCTACAGCAACAATCTGACTCCACAAAGGATTTTGGTTGGGGTGGGGGTGGAGGGGTGAGGGAAAATGTTAAATCAAAAATGACATACACTTGCCCACAGCTTTAATTAAGGATCAATTTCTCCAGCTGCAGCATAAAATTCAATATGTCTCATAGAGTCACTCGAAGCACTCATTTACACAGTTCTTTCTACTTTGCACAAAATACATCAGGGTGTGAGCAGGATCTGGTAACATGCAGCACCAAGAGCCTGAAGAACACTCCCAGCCCCATCTCCCCCAAGCTCCTGCTGCTCTACACCATCACATCCCAGCACCTGCCTCCCTTCCAGCTGGGATTCTGTCAGTACAGGCAAAGCTCTTCTGGGTGAACCACTGAGACTTGCCCTCATTGGAAAACTCCAATTAAAAAAGAAAATAACCCCCAAACCCCACACATTTAGATAATAATTTAATTTATCCAAAATAAAATAAAGAGCCAATAATTTATAAAAACCAAGACAAGTTCTTTATGACAGATGAAAACAAAATCTGCCTGTTCAGGTGTGTCATCACCAAGCACCTAAATTAACTTTCTCAAGCAAACCCTGTCCCTACCAAAGCCACCAGGATTTGCCCAGCTAAGGAGCAGATGAATGTCCAAAATTTGTGAACAGAAGAGTTCAAAGGTGCCCCCAATGGCTCATTCACATGCAGCAATGCTACCACTGAATTAGCATTAGGAAATGCACAAGTATTTGCAACACTTTTCATCTTAAAATGCCATGCAAAATTTCAGTTTTTCATTAGTTAATTAGCTGATTCACACTTCTTGAGTCATAAAGTAAGCCAAAAGCCCACATTTTCCACCTTCAAGATGCATTAAGAGCAATGCAGACAGTCCCCACTGCAGGGCACACTGATCTCACATGGATTTTAAAGCACATGAGTACTTGTGACCCCCCTGTCACAGGAGAGATCTATCAAACTCGGTGGATATTTGATCCAGCCCCCATTTGCCTGACCAGGGTCTGGCCCAAGGAGCAGAACACACATGGAGGATTTCACCAAACACACGGAGCTCATCGAGTTTATCAGCCGAGGAATAAACAGGTCACGGCTGATTCCACGCTGATAAATCCCATATTGGTCACCAGCAGCTGCAAACACCACCCAGCTGGGACCCAGCCACCACAGGGTTTTATTGGGATCCCAGTTTTGAGAGGGCAAAAGGCCAATTGACTGGAGCAGCTACAGTTCAAATGGTTTCCTCTGCTGCCCTTTGGGTTAGCAGCTGCATGTCCTGAAGCCTCGACCTGTTTGATTTGGGAGCAGCTCCTCTCCCCACTGCTGGGCTGTGTCTGCCGTGGTGTTTCCTGCTCTCTGACCTGCCCAGCCCAAGATTTCCATCTGCTGTTCCCTACAGTGCCCCTACACTGCACTTAGAAATGATTTGGGAAACGCTGATAGTGCTAGAACACAGCACAGGTGGGATGGATGGCATCTCAGAGCTCCTGTGCAAAACAAACCCTGCGTTCAGTGGGGCTCTCCTGGGAAATTGCTTACTAAAAAGCAAGGCATGAAAAAAAGCAGCAAAATTACAAAAAAGAAAAGAACAGAGGAAAAAAGAAATGGGGGAAAATAAAAAAGAAAAGAAACATGACCTCCACATGTTCCAAGTGTCTGACAGATTCTGTTGGGAGGTCCTCAGCTGGTTTCTTTCTAACAGCTCCACCACCCTGTTTTGTCAGTGCCATAAAAATAGTTCTTGTTTTGAGGGAGGAAGGGTGGTGAGAAGCACCATGCCAAGGAAGCACAGATAAATGGGCATTTCCTGCCTCACCTCCTGCCAGCTGGTGGGCACAAAGGAGAACAATCTTTGAGAGCTAAATCCTCTTCAAAAAAGCAGAGGAAAAGCAGCAGAGAGGTGAAATATTGAGTTTTTACTGACTGAGCTCCCTTTTCAGCTCTTGTTTGAAAACAACATTTCCTATCAAAGTTCTCATGGAGTTAAAAATTTAAACATTGAGGCAATTTATTCAAATAAGCAATTAAACCCTTCTTCACTCTTCCCTGTGTTTTTCAGAGTAGGAAACTTTGCTTTTCTGACCCTACATCAGAAGAGAAAGTGAATTGGAATTCATGATTTCCCTGTCACACAAGCAGCCTGTGTGTCCCCAGCTGTGGTGTGAAAGCAGATCTGGGCCATTGTTCTGCAGCTGCAGGATGGTGCCTCGAGCTGCCAGACCAAGGTGGGAGCTGGGGAGCATCCCCTCCTCCCCAGGGCTGACCGAGGGCTCTGCTGCTCCCCAGGGCTTTGCATCCAGCCAGATCATACCCACCCAGCCCCAAACCCTCCCCTCCTGGAGCCTGGCTTCATTTCCATTACGAATTTATGATGCCATCTGCCCTGTCTCGCAACCACGGCTCCTGCTTAGCTCTTCTCAAATACCCAGGGAAATGGCCAAATAACCAAATTACCAGTCTGACAGAGTGACAGATACTTGAATAGAGGTTTTGCTCCTTTAGCTGATTTGCCATATGCAAGCAGGGCAGTTTTCCTTTAAGCAGCATGGCCCACACCAAGAGTCATAACTGGAACACAACAATTGCTTTTAATGTCAAAATACTACTTATTAGATATTGCAGTGTAAATCAAAATCCCAAAGGATTACCACGCCAAAAAATGCAAATCAAGAACACAGACTCTCTGCATTCATCTAAATTGGGATTTTTTTCATGTAAATCTGAGGAAATAAGAATTAAATTGCCACTGTAGGACATCTATCTGTATGTTTGTGCTGCTGCAGATGTATGAAGACATAAATCCATAGGGTGGACATGCCTCTAAATGCAAAAAACCCTGCACTAAATCCTAATGCTCTGGATACTACAGCAGCCTGCTGCAGAAAATAGCAGGACAACCACACAGCTCAGGGTCTAGTGAAGGTAAAAAGTAGTTAGTGCCCAGTCCCTGGGGCTAGTGCACATCAGAGATTGCACAAAAGTCAGCAGATATGTGCCTTCTCCTACCATTTTGTTTTTAAACTGTGCAATCCAACCTTCTCTGAGGCTGGGAATGTTGGGCAAAATTGGAAATACAGTCTCCAAGTGCCCAGAATGTGTAAAATGGACTCGTGGGGCTTCATACAGAATTTTAAAAAATAATATAAATAGCTGGAGTGGCCTAAATACTCTTCAAACAGTTAAAAGTGGCGTTTCCAAAAGTCACCTTGGAACGACTACAGCTCCTGACAACTCACCCAAGCCTTGAGCTTCCAGGTCCCCATCTTTTGAAATTTTTTGAAAAGCCAAGAAAAAAGGGGCTGAGGAGGTGGCTGCAATCCTTGCACTTGAAAGGCACCAATGTGCCAGCCTCGCTGCAGATGGTTGCTATGCTTGTCACAGCAGTTATTCCAGGGATTAGGAGCACCAAGCAAGACAACAACTCCTCCAAACAGTTGTCCTTTGTCAGAGCTGTGTCCAGCCTGGCAGGAGGCGGGCGCTGGCGCCAGGCACCGCCGGGCGGGCACGGCCGCGGGGCTGCTCGCCACAAGCTGCACAGCTGGACACACCTGGGAACATCTGTAACAGCCACAGGACCCCAAAAATCTCCTGTGCAGACCCGCAGACACCTTGGGAAGCTCCCAGACAGGCTGTGGAAGTTTCCCGAGGGCTGCTGTTAACAACCAGCTGCAGGGAGGCCACAGCTTTTAAAAACAAGCATTTCCTTGGCATGGAAAAGGAGGACTGTTGAAAGAAGCAGAGAAAAGGTGGTGGTTTTTTTTTTTTAAGCAAAATTGAAAGTCAACAGACATGAAGCAAGGCTACAAAGATGTAGGTAGCTGCCTATCTCCTCTGTGTCACTTTGCTGAGAGCTCTGCAGGACTCAAAGGAGCCCAAAAGCTGACATATTCGATGGCACAGCTGACATGAATAAAATCTGCAGAAGCAAAAAGATCCAAGCGAACCAGCTGTGCTTCCCAAGCCTGCCTGGTGCTGGATTCAGCTCAGCAGTCTCTCACTAAAGCTCCTGTTTTCTCTAGGGTTAATGAGAATATATTCTTCTTTTCCACAATCTTGATAAAAAGGCTGACATTATAAAAACTGATTTGTGGTCCATCAGCCAAAGCTAAAATGTAAATCCTAACAAAAAAGCTTCCAGGCAAACTGCAGGGTTCAAACAACACTGTGAAACTTCAGAGTACAAACAGAGTTCAGGACTGTGGCTGAAACCTTCCTACCAAGACCCTCAGACAGCCTGGAGAGATTTTAGAGAGCTTTGTTTCTTCTACCTCAAAGTCTGTGTCATTTCTAAAACCTTTTTCAGACCCTGTAGGCCAATGCTAAAACCATATCAACTCTAGCTTGAATTTCACTAGAAAAGGTCTCCAGAAGACATGTTCCCTTTTTTTCCCTAGAGGGGTGGAAATGCTGGTGCTGTCACAAAATCTTTGGATTCTCAAAAGAAAAAAAATTATTGCTTTTCATAAACAAACAGCATCTTTGCAAGAGGGGCAAAGCTAATCTGGGTTTGCTCTGATCCATGTAAGCTATCCTGAGGCTTCATTATATTCAGGAACAGATTCCTAGACACGAAGAAGAGATACAGAAAATGTGGCAAAGGAAGGAAATTGTTTTGCACCTACCCAGATTAAAGCAAAGCACATTTGCTCCCTTTCCTTCTGACCAAAAGGCTGAAATTCTCCCTAGCACTACTCTGGTTTTTTATGCTCCTCCAAAAGGTTAAGATAGAAACAAAAAAATGGAAGATGGCACAGCCCTTCCAGAACTCAGCCCAGCATGTGCTCAGAGTCTCCCTGGCTTCAATGGGGCTTGGCTGAGGCTTTTAAAATGTCAGTATTTTGTATTAAGCTCCCCTGGTAAAATACTGAGTTACAATGGATTTTGATTAACCCTGCCCTTACATGAAGGAAACCTCTCCACCCACAGTGGTGAAGACCTCAAACTCATTTTGACTCAGCCATGAACCAGACTGCAGCACATTCAATGAACCCACCATTGTTGGGATTTCTGAGCTTAAACTGGATTCAAGAACTTCAGGATAACACTGGAAAACTCTGAGCTAATTAATTTAAGCAACTCTTCTGAGAATGCTGATTCTTTTTATTTCCTCTCCTGGGCTCCCTGAGAGAGAACAGCAAACAGACACGAGCACAGCCATACGAATCAACAAATAGCTTCAATACAGACCAGAAATAGTTTGCAAAATCATTATTACACAGCAATCACCCGATGAAATGACACTATTTCTGAGACAATTTCATTACTTTAAGAGATGCCATTTTTGCAGGATGGAGAAGATTTGACAATGGCTAACAGACAGGAAAGCTTACTGTAGCCTGCTGGAAAGTTTCTGGATGAGGTCCGCTTCTCTCCTTTTGAAACTGAACGGGACAATGTGATTACTACCCAGGGTTGCTTGTGTGTCACTTCAGCCAGGAAAAGTTGTGGAAATGACAGGAAAACATGGTGCTGTTATCACATGAGACAATAACATACAACACAATACTCAGCTAGTCATACTGCTCACTGAGCACTCAGCAGTACAAATCACAGCCAGGTCTTTTTCTTCCAATTTCCACCTAAACTACCTCCCCTCCTTGGGGGCAAAGTGGAACCCGATGATTTGAGCTCATTTTAACAGATTAAGTCATAAGCAATTTGTTTTCTTACAGCAATAAAATTATTATTTCCAACTGTATTATTACTACAATTAGAAACATGCATTATTAACTTATTAGCCAAATACCTGTATGTTAGTGACATGCTACTTCCCTCGAGGCACATTGACCATCCCTGCTCTGCTTTTCTTGTGCTAAGGCAGATCTTACTAACAACTTCTTTTCCCTTAAAAAAATTAAAAATCAAGCTTCCATCCTGAATCCACCAATCTAGGACTGGTGGTCTTGCCATTCATCTGATACCCTTTCCCAAATAAGTCTGAAGGAATTGAACAACTACATGCTTACTTATTCCCTCCAGAGCCCTACAACTGACAAGAGTTAATTAATCACTACTCTGCACTGAGACTTCTCTAGGAACAAATTTGTATCCTGGATCTCAGAGTCCCTCGAGATGTCCAGCTCTAGAAATCTTTCTCAACACGAGGACCTCTTATCTCAGAGCAGTTGGAGGAGCTTGGCTGAGATGGGCTTCTGCTAAGCTTTGTGTGGAGAACAAGCCCTGGATCCTTGCACCACTGACCACTGCAGCCACGGACACGTGGCCAGCAAAGGAACCAGGGGCTCTGCTCAGCTCCTTGTAGGAACCACCTGAGAGGTGCAGATAAAGACCACTGCTAATTCAACTATAAGAAAGGTTTAGTTTCAAATATTCTAAAGAAGTGATTTTCTAATTTAAACTGCTGTAGGACAAAAAAATTACATCCCAAGTGTGGAAAAGTTCAACTTCTCTTTTGGAATTAAAAAAAAAAAAATACAACCAAACAGTATCTCACAAACTTTGGGCAGCATCACAGCCTGAAATAACCTGAAATTCACTGCCAATAATGCACCTGGTCATGTATTTCTTTCTGTGGCAGACAAGGACAGATGGGAGACACAGAAAGCGCCTGACTGCAAGACAGAGACTGCTTATTCAGAGATGCAGCTAATTCAGTGTGGTGACTAAAAGAGCTCGTAGCAAGACCAAGTAGACCAAATTTGAATTCTTTTTAAAATGTCCCTTCTCTAAAACAAAAGATTTGCGCAGACCAGGTGAAGATTCCTAGGCTCCAGTAGTGTGGTGAGATTTTCCATGCTGGGCTCCTCTGTGATGGCTGCTGGGACATGGTGCTCTCACTGAGCCTTCAGAGCCAAGAGCTGGTTTGCTGTAAGCTCTGCAAGGATGCTGACTAAACCAATGTTCCTAGACAACCACCTTTCTCCTTTTTACTGGTGTGAAATACCCACCTAGAATATCAGAGAGCAAAGAACGCAAGCCCTGTACCCCTCAGAGAGGACAACCACCTTCACACTGCTGGAGCAAGAGGTATCAGAAACAATTATTTTCAACTGATCCACACTTGTCTCTGCAAAAGCACCACTTATGCCAGGCATGAAGGATCATTTGCTCACCTGGATTTATTCCAAGCTCATCTTAGGAAGGAAGGAATTAAAACAGGCTCAACAAAGATGTCTGTTCAGCGTTGTCATAATCCACCGGAGACTGGCTTGGCCGTTTAGATTTAGGTTGGATGTTAGGAAAAAGTTCTTCTCCCAGAGGGTGGTGGGGCACTGAACGTGCCAGGGAATGGATCACAGCCCCAGGGCTGCCAGAGCTCAAGGAACATCTGGACAACACTCCCAGAGGGCAGGATTTTTGCAGGGTACAGGATCAAAAGACTCAATGATCCTTGTGAGTCCTTTCCAACTCAGTTTATGCTATGATTTTATGATTTGCTCTGTTTTAACTGAAGTTTCCCAAAATGGAAAGGTGTTTGTGGTATGAGGCAAGAACATCCACCTGACATCGAAGATGTCTGTAGTTTTCACAGACACAATACACAGCAAACCCAGGTAATTTAAGTCCCTTTCATGAGCCTGCTCCCCAAACAAGCAGAACAGCAAAACCAGTTCAGTCCCACATGCCAGTCTCCATCTCCATCACATCCATCCTGTCCACCACAAGCTGCTTTCCATGACCACTCTGTCCAACAGCTGATTTTGCTGGGTGCATTCTGTCTGTTCAGACCCAACAACCTCCATGGCACATCCTGGAAGTCACTCATTTGTGCAAAGAATGAGGACAGAAGTTGTCGACCAAGACCCGTGAGGTCAATGCAGTCTTTGAATCTGAAGACTCTTCTCTCTTTATTCTCCATTCCTCAATGTGTACAGAAGATAAAAGCAATGACCGATTCCTTCAGTTTGAGCCCAGAAAGCAGAACAGTTGACTCACTTTTCCATAGCCAGGGGAAAACAAAAGACATTTTACTATGAGGTGGTGACTGAAGTCTGAAGAGATAAAGGCTGTGCCCATCGTGCTCTGATGAAAGTGGGATCCCAAGTACACAAAGCAGCAATGAGCAGAGTTGATTCCGAGAGCTGGTTTATAGGGGTTTCCTGCAGGAACTCAGTTTTTCATCTGGAGTCAAAGGGTTGGAGTCCAATCAGATATGAACTGTGGTGGTCCATGCCTGACCCTCTCAGATTAACAGTGACACTGACAGCCCCTCGGGGCCAGAGCCCAGCTCCACCAGCTGCTCAACACAGCAGGGACACACAGGCACCAAGCTCAGCCCAAAGCAGAAACCATGTTCTACTTTGCTACTTGTAAATAATTATGAAACAAGATACTTATCCAGAGAATGGCTGGAGACCAAACCTGCATGCACACACAAATATATTTATACACGTGTATTCAGAGATGTTACACATGACATTCTGCTTCATCCCTTTTTCCTCTCCAAACACCAGCACGCTCTGCATAGGAAGCCAGCATGTATGCAGCTGTCCTGGGGGGTGGATGCAGCACCTCGAAATAAAGGGAAGGGAAGAAGGGGAGAAAATTTTGCTTCTGGTAACACAGCAGTATGAAGGGGAGAGCTGATACCAACCCTGAAACGCCTCGACCTACTTCCCCTGCTTTGAAACAAGCCACCAGGGTGGAGGGGAGGACACCCCCTCATTGTTTTGGGAGGACAGAGCTCACCAAAAGCCAGGCATGAGAAGGAAAGTCTACAGTAAACTCCTACCCAAGGGAAACATCCCCAGCTTTGCTCTTCTGCTCAGACACTCCATGTCCCAGCAGGCGACACTGATGCAGATTTCATGTTCAATGAAGTCAAGTTCAGTTTGAAAATGAACATTTCCAGCTCACTGTTCTACCTTTCTCATTTCCACTGACCCAGAATACTTCACCCCCCTCCACACCACTCAACCCAGTAGGAAGACATCTGGTAGTCAACTCAAAACCACTACTCTTGAGTGACTTACCCCATACACCACCTTAATGTCCCTGGAAAAGTGAGGACAACGCTTAAAATACCTTTACAGGTAACACAGCTCTGCCACTACCCCATCCCACCTTCTTCTGCCCAACATACCATGGAGAAGAGCCCTGAGGAAGCAGCCCAAGCATCAGCCATCTCACCTAGAATTAGGAACTGCAGGACGTTCATACCTTGGCATGTGAGACATCTGTGTCCCAGCTTGGTGGCCAAGGATGGCTGTGCTGCCATGAGGGCTCACAGAACAGGCACAGAAGCCTCCAGGCTCTCCCACCTTGGATAACCCAACACCTCTGGCACCAAGGCTCCCCTGCCACTCCAGGACCTATCTGCTGTCCCTGTCTGGGCAGGACAGGCCAGGTCTCTGGAAGGTGACTTGCCAGCATCACCATCCTCGCACCCATCACTGCTCTTCCTACCAAGGAGGAGACAGGCCAACCCCCAGCCCTGGGTGCAGGTCCTGTTACGCATCACAACCAGAGGGTTGAGGCTGCAAGGTCCAAATTCTGGCCCCAGATGATTAGCTCTGAGCATGGCTGTGTGCACAAGAACCAGGACAGCAGCTCCCAACCATGCCCAGATGGGACAGCTAACATAGAGCTACCTGTGCCTCACAGACCAGAGATCCCTGCTGAACTCTCTGTCACAAGGTTCTGGCCTAGCCTCCCCCTCTTCCAAAAGACAGCATGGCCCAGCTTCCCATCCACAGGATGGGGAATGCAGAGATTTGTGCAACAATTTATAATTGCACAGCTCAATCACTCAGCATCCTTGAAGCACATGGAACCCATGGGAGTCAGGTCACATTACATAACATCAGGTTGGATTTGATTTAGCCACCCAAGGGTGGCTCACCAGTTTCCAGAAGTTCTGAGGAGCCCAGGTCCCTGCAGTGTGACAGGAATGCAGGTGCTCAGCACCCTTAAAAATTCATGTGGGTTAGCTGAATGGAGATACACAAGGTCCAAATTTTAATTCCAGACACAGAAGGTCTAAGGTCAGAAGCAGAGTGCTGGGATATTAAACCCTCACAGAAAGAAGAGGACAGTGAAGCTCCAAGGCATGTGGAAGCTGCTAGAAAAGTGTAATTTGGAAGCTGCTGACAGCAAAATGCTCCTTTGCAGACAGGATCTATGCTTAAGAAATACCAAAAACTTAGAAAGTTGAAAAATAAAGAATAAAACAGATCTTAAAGCAGCACATTCAGTGACAACCTCACATTGACTCTGGCAGAACCTTCTCTGAAGCAGTGACCTACTAAAAGCCAGAGATACTCAAGTGTGTTACAGACCACATAAACTCTGTCATGCAGAGATAACTGGCCAAATGAATTTGTAAAATCTTGGAAGGAAGGTTAAATACAAGGCAAAATACATAAACTTGCAAAAAATGATCCTGAAAAAATGACAGAAGAAACACTGTTCCAGCACTGAACCGACAGTGATGTTTGTATGAGAAGTGAAAGCCTGGTTACCACAGGCTCCCTCAGACACTGAGATGTCTCTGCTGAGGCCTTGGAGGCTGCATTTTACTTGAGCTGACTTGAAAATACAAGTGATTACATCCACATTCTGCAACTTTCAGGAAACAAGACAGAATCAGGTACAGAAAAAAAATTCAAATTCTTGGTACCTTTGACTCTGAATTCTGCCTCCAAGGCTTCCAGGCAGCACTCCCTGCCACAGGAAGGTACACACAGCAGAAAGGTAACAGAAATCAGTAATAATAAAGATGTGAAGTGATAATTCCAGAAATGAGGAAGAGAGAAGTATTTACAGGAAAATTCACACCAGTAGTAGGGAGCATGCCAGTTTAGGATATTCCCCTTTGGGGTTTAGGTTTTTGTTTTTGTTTTGTTTTAATGATGGGAATTGTCTCAGGTTACTTCCTAAAAAGTTCCATCAGCTGCAAGCTGTGCAGCTACAGAGCCTGACCCCACATGCCAGAAGGGTATGGGAAAGCCTAAGAGGAGATTAAAAGAGCAACAGACACCTCAGAGAGGCTTTGGAACAGCCAGAAAAAAACCTTTCCAGGAATAACAGTCCCTGAACTATACAGAAAAAAAAAAGTAAGCAGCACAGTCTGATGTGCAACTGGACCTCCACTGGTTTTTGAGGAATCCAGTGGAACATCCAACACACTCTTGGGGCAGCTCTCTGCAAAGTGTGTGACTCTCCCAGGTGTCACAAGAAGCTCCACGCAGGGCAGCTCTGGAGAGCTTAAGTCCCAATAAATCCAGGAAGCCACTCACAAGCTATAGGGGGGCTGTGGAGTTCAACTGGACACCAGACACTTCAAACATGAAATTTGTACAGTAAGAGAGATTAGTTCATTTTGTCATTTGTCATTTCAGGTGAACCTGCAATGCTCTGGTAATCAGGTTCTCAAGAGATGGTAACTCAAGAGTCAAGAGACTCCCCAGACAGAACACTCAAGAAGCAGCATGCTGTCAACCATGTGCCAAACAGCATTCTCTGTGCTTGCCCATTTCCTAGCAGGTCAATCTAAATCCTCAACATCCAGGTATCACTGCACAAGAATACAAAGCTTTCCAGACAACCAAAAATCCCATCTACAACCAAATGGTTTCCATCTTTTTTCAAGAGCAATGGGCAGCACAGCCCAGCCAGAAATCCTGCCATGCACAGCCACAGTCACACCTCACACATCACTCCTGTTAGTGTGAGCTGAATTTCCTTTTAGCAAAGGCAACCAGCTGCAAGCAGCTCTGTAAAGCTTCCACATAGATAAGAGTAATCTAATTTTGTTTGTGACCTAAATCCTACTTGGACACAGGACAGATGAGGTAAAAGGTGCGATGCTTTCCAGTTGGTATAATGGGTTGGAATCTGAAGAGCTCACCCTAACCATGGTCTGTGTCCTCCAGCCTTTGCAATGTCTGCCGCAGGGAAAACAAAGTTAGCAGCTGTTAATCTGCTCTAAGTGACAAAGTCAGCCTGAACACACAGGAGCTGTGGGCTAACCTGGCAAGTCTCCACAGCCTCAACTGCTCGCCAGCCTGCACAGCATGGTAATCACACAGCCTCACTGACTGACCACAGCCACCCGTAAAACTCTTATCTCTTCTCTATACTCCATCCTTCCACCAGTAAAATTCTTACCTCTTCTTTAGACTACATCCTTTCAAGTATGAATTATATTCCCCAACTACTGTCTGTAATTGAGGCTCTATTCTATCTATTCTGTACATGTAAAATTATGTTTACAACTGCTGGATGCCCTACACAGGCAGGAAACATATCATGCCTAGATGAAAACCTCTTTGCACTTCTCGAGAAGATTTGGTGGCAGCAGTTCCAGCTGAACCCAGTAAGACACAGCTCCTCCATCACATGCAATCACAGAATTGGACCTTGCTTCCAAAGCCCTGCCTCGCTTTCTGCTGCTCAACACACCATCTCAGGCAGAAGCAACTGGACACCCCTGGATTGGTGGATCCAAACCACAGAACCCCAAATTTCATGTGAGAAATTAACCCCTCTGTATCTTCAGATCCACCCATCTGAACTGACAGAGCCTGTCCAGGATGATCCCCAGCAGTGTGGAGCCAGTGCTCATTTTGGGAGGACACCCAGGCTGTTCAGCTCCACCAGGCTGAGAAGTGGCTTGGTGAACAGAAACACACTCTGGATCAGGAACTCGTCTGGGCGAGGAGGTCTGAAATATCCAGCTCAAATCCAAAGTCTAGGAAAGCTTTCTAGCCTACTGAGGAAAAAGTCATTCCAGCATCTCAGGGAAGAAGGCAGGAGACGGAGATACATCAGCTGCCAGACAAACACCTGACAGAAACGTGCAAAGAGAAGATGTCAGCACTCCTTTTGAGGAACAGCTACAGACACAAAGGACACAAGGACAACTTGCTGCACCCAAGCTCAGCCAGCCTCACCACAGAGAAAGCAACCAAGCTAACAGCATCCATCTCTTCCAAACAGAAAGGCCATTACAGCTTGCTGCCTCCCAAGAAAGCTTTAGCACAGACACATCACCATGAATTCTGGCACGTGAGCAGCTATCACATCCAACCCAGAACATCTGCAAGCCTTCAGACCTAGTAACACCATCAAGCAGCCCAGGATCCAACCCTGCCAACAACTGCAGCTCCCACAGAGAAAGAGCAGCACCTGTCTTGGACAGCATTGACAATCACTTGCACAAACATGAAACTTAAGATGTCACAGACTAACAACAAAAGCTCTTCTGTGCTAGACAGGAGCCACTGTGACTTCCAGAAGACAGAAATCTGCACAGATAAGCACAGAAAAACCAAAGCCCTATAGATGACTGATGGTGGGGACTCACTAGCTGAGACTAAATCCTTTATTTAACAGACTAACAAGGTCAGAGAAATGTAAGAGCCCCAGAAGGGGCTTTGCAGAAAATCTTAACAAGAGACTGATGGTGTGGTGAGACAGAAAAAGTGAGTGTCTAAATGTGAACCCTGCAACCAATAAAAATACTCTATTTCAGAGAGGAGAGAGAAGGAAAGAGGAGGACTTGCTGGACAGGTCACTCAAGACACTAAGAATAATCTAAAGTACTCTTTAAAATTTCTCTATATTGCAATTACCATCAATAACTCATCAGAAACACGTTCCTAACTTGATAAAAGTTTGTTTGAAAATCCCCAAAGCTGCCAGGACCAGAGCCCAGCTGGGGAAGCAGGAAGCACTGAGCTCCAGGAGAGAGGCTGTGACATGCAGAGCCAAGCAGGAGCAGCCTGTGACAGGGACACTCCAGAGAGCCCAGGCAGCACAGAGGCTGCAGGTGCAGTTTCTGACATTTGACACTGACAAAACTCCTGAGACCTTCGAGAAGAAAAATGTGGGACATCTTTTGCATGCTTGCTGCATCTGCCACAGGGACTGGCTGCAGAGCAGCACCGTCCAGCTAGATTGGTGGATCTGAGGATACAAAGCTGATCTTTTTGGTGCAGGTGTACCCTGGTATTTACCAGAGTCAGGAACAGCTCTGTGCCACACTTGCTCTCTGACTTTGGACAGGGATATCCTGGGGCTAAACTGGCTAGAAAATTCACTGAGACCTAATCTCTGCATAACTCCCCTAACAAACCCCTGCTGCTAAAATAATAATCCTCAACTTTTTTCTTTTTTAGTGCTGAAAACAATTCTATCACATTTATGACTTTCACAAGTAATACAGAAACAAGAAATTTTAACAAAAAGTAATAAGTTGAATAAAAAAATATAGAAAAACAACAGTGAATCATTCTAGATATTAATTATAGGTGTATCTAGCATTATTAGCTACAATACTGAATTAAATCAATTCTGGAAGGCATTAGCTCCAGTGTAAACCAAGAAGATCCCAATTTAACCTTTTTTTTAATTCTGGGAAAAGAATATTTTACAGTGACTCAAAACTGAGAGATTTAAACAACTGACAAATAACTGGACTAATCAAATTGCATTTAACTAACATTGGGTATTGGCTAATTAATTTCAAAGTTGTTCCACTAGTTCTGCCGTTGGCTTTATACTCACATGTGTGGATTTTGGAAAGGAACTCCAGAAGTATTTAGAGTAAATCTTGCTGTGGACTTGAAAGGTGGATTTGCAAAATTTAACTTCAGCGCTTTGCGTTTACCTGGGAGACAATGAACATAAAGTGAACTTTTTGTCAGCACAAAATATTGAGAGCATCTGGAAATAAACAGAAAAATAAAATGACATCTTGTAAGAAAAAGATTTTACATTTTACAACATTAGCAAATCACAGCTTATGTTAGGACATGGGGACGGTGACACAGAGTCAGCTCTCATACCAGGGTCTTCCCCAGCTCATTCCAAGGCTGCATCCAAAGCAAGGCACCCACAGCACCTCCTGTGACAGCTGGAGCACCTGGATCACCTGCCAGGGCTCCAGCAAGCACCAGCTCCGGCCCCAGGGCTGAGCATCCTCCATGCACACCCACGGGACACAGAGGTCTGACCTGCCACACACAGCCCGGGGCATGGCTCTGAAGAGGGAAAAGGCACCTTGGGATGCTTTTTATATGAACTCCCAGCACAGGATGGCTGTTGGGGTTCAGGGATTTCTTCTATTATCCTCTGAGTCTGCTTTGTTCACACGCCTGTAACCCCAACCTATGTCCAGGGCAGTTCCGTTGTGTTGGAAGATTTTCCCTTTCTCACAGCAATGTTTATACAGCTCAGGAGAACATGGGACTTGATGTAGTCCAAGACAAAAATTGACACAATTAACTACAAACCTTCATCAGAAAATCTACCCGCAGACTGCTCCTATTCTTACTATTTGTGAACTTTATACACCAAGTTTCTTCCTGTTTTTACTCAGGGACACTTTGTAACTCACTTAAATATTGATCTATTGATTTCAATCTCAGTAGGTTTCTAAGGGTAGCTTCAATTATGTCAATCCACCATCTGAAGCTGGATTTTCTACAAATCCAACAAATACAGAAGCTTAGGCTGCCCCTGGGAAGCAAACAGGATGGTTTGTTTCTGCCCAGCTGATGAACAAGGAATGTGACCGGGAAAAACGAACATCCTGAGAAACGCCAGGAATTTCCATGCAGCACAGATCACATGGAAATGTACTGTAAGTGAAACAACAGACTCAGATGGAGCAAAGGCTGAGGAGAGCCAAAGCAAACTGTGCTCCCCAGCAGCCTTCCACAGCTTCAGCTGTGGACTCCAAACCTTGAGTTTCATCCTGAAAAAGACTTTCTATTTCTTGCAGACACATCATTCTAACTGGAGGCGGGAGTTTAGCTGTGATTTTGCTACACCCAAGTTCATTACAGACCACCCTGCCTCACTACAACAAAGAGGGGTGGGGGTTATAGTGCCTCTGGAATTCACTAATGCCCACCACCACCAAGGTTGTGTGACCAAACTGCCCCAAAATGTGCTGCAGAAATATTCACCCTATATAAATTGTCTTTTAAAGGTTCTGCTAACTTAACACATAATTCTAATCATCGACCATTATAACATCTAGTTCTCTGAGAACTTTTACAGTTAAGATTCTGGGAGAGAGAATGATCAAAATTAACTCTGAAATAGGTAACTTTTTCACAAGTTCAGGTAATCCTTAACACTGGGTTTGCTCAGCTGCATGTTAATGGTTATACCAAGTCCAGACCATATTTGAAACCAGGATGGCCTGGACTTCAGCTGAGAAGAGTGGTAAATACTTTATGCTTTCAGGGAATCTAAAGAGGATTGTATCCTATGTTAGGCTGCTCTCCAAGAAGAAAAAAAGACAGCCAAAAATAGCTTTCTGGTTGTAATTAAGTTAATCTACCCATAAGGATAGAAATCTTCATTGCAAGTCATCCCAGATTTAAAGAGGTAGTGGTGACGGTGTCCTCAAAACAATTTTTGAAAGGATGCCATCATTCTACCACCAGGCCTGTGCATGGAAGTGAGGTCCAGGAGTGATGCCCCTGTGTCCCCAAATGCACAGCCCTTGGCATTCCATAGATAACAGCCAAAACAGACACTGGGAAAAGCACCTGCACAACATGCACAACAGCCCCAGAAAAATCTGGGCTCACAGCAGCCCTTGCTCCTTGCTGCACTGGTGAATGGGTGCTAGGCCAAGGGCAGAATTATTTATGTGCTGCTATCCGTCACCAGATTTAATCCAAGCACTTGGCTCTGCAGTTAAGTTCTCATCACTCTGAGGCCCCTTCACCACCACCACCACGGCCAACCAGCCTTCACAAAACAAGAAACAGCTGTCCAGCAGGTCACACACAGGCCAAAAGTATTCCTCCAGAGTTAGATTGTGTACTACTATTTTTACTTCACCTAGGACATCTGTGATTTACGGAATCACAAAATCATTCCAGTTGGAAAAAGCTCTAAGATCAACGAGTCCAACCATCATTCCAGCACCACCACCTTGTTCTTCATCAAGCCATGGCCTCAAGCACCACATCCACACATTTTTACACTTCCAGGGATGGGACTCCACCACATCCCTGGGCAGCCCCCTCCAAAATTACTCCTAATATCCTAATATCTCCTGGTACACCTGAGGCCATTACCTCTCCTCCTGTCCCTGTTCCCTGGAGCAGAGCCCGACCCACCCTGGCTGTCCCCTCCTGCCAGGAGCTGTGCAGAGCCACAAGGGCCCCCTGAGCCTCCTTTGCTCCAGGCTCAGCCCCTTCCCAGCTCCCTCAGCCACTTCTGGAGCTCCAGATCCTTCCCCAGCTCCATTCCCTTCCCTGGGCATGCCTCAGCCCCCCAAATTTTGTTTTGCCATGAGGGATTCAAGGTGCCTGAGCAGTGCCCAGCACAGAGGGACTGTCACTCTCCTGCTCTTCCTGGACACACTGTGGCTGGTCCAGGATACCCTTGGTCATTTCTTCAAGCCTCTGAGTCACCTCCTGTTGGAGAAAGCAATTCCAACTTCTTCCTAGAATTTCCTCACCACCATTCCTGCATGTCACACCTCAAGAGCACTGCTTCCCATGTTCAGATTGCACAGAACAAAATGCTCCCTTTTTAAGCAGGAAGATTTTCAAAACAGCAGTAATTTAATGGAATTTCCCAAGGTTTCTATCCTGTAAGGGTAAAAACTGATCCCTGCAAAAATGTTTTCTGCTCTGTTCAACTCGGCAGGATCAACCTCTTGATTGAGCAAGGTCAAGTGAGCACAGGTCACAGTGTTCAAGTGAGTCACAGTGCACAGGTAAATATTCTTTTTGGTTAGATGCTGAAGTCACTCTCTGATTGTGGAGTGATGATACACCAGGAATCAAATCTGCACTCTCTCTCTTTGCTGTAACCAGGAAAAAAAGATACAAGCACAGAAACACAAACTGTGACAGCAAACAGCAGGAAGGAAAGTCAATGGATCTGTAATGAACTGTGCAATCTTTCTACCTCTCCCTTGTAATATTAAAACACATCAACAAAAAGACAGAGGAAATGAGGGAAAATTGATTATTTACCTACATTTGGAAACAGAGCTCAATGCCCAAGGTAATTTTCTTAATAGAAAACTATCAGCTCTGATTTCTTCCAAGGTAATTCCAAGCAAAGCTAGTGTAAACTCTAAGGTGAGACATGAAAAAAAAAGAACAAAAACAAAAACAACACAGATCTCCACTCTTCCAACAACTTTAAAAAGCCAAACTGCTGTATCTTGTCTGCTAACAAAATGCCTGCTTTGATGTAGAGACAGCAAGGAACATTTACCTGCCTTCAGAGCTGCAGCCCCGCAGTTGCTGACATCCTGAAAGCTCCCAGGATTTCCAGCTGGTTATTCCTGCTGCTGTTAGCACAGCTCTGCCTGCCCACAGACCCTTCCAACCTACCACCTTGCCAGTCTTGCTCATGGATCTACTCCAGCACCAGCACAACTAATTTGAGACTAAAGTAGGTTTCCAGTCTCACACTCAAGATAAATTATTTTTCAAGAAAAAACCAGTCAAACTTTGAAACAAAACCTGAAGAACTTCAGCATACCATGCAGATCTATTTGAGAAGTCTGGATGAAAGAAGTTTGATTTATTACTTTTAAGAGCTGCAATTATGGAAATTTACTTTAAAGGGTACAAATATTTTCAGTGCATCTGTCTGTTCCTGACATTTTTAGCCCTTCAATGAAACCTTCAGCTTCATATAATCTGAGAGTGAGAATTCAAATCTGCAATTATGATCTTGCACTGCAGGAGTAAGCTAAGTATGGTCATTTTTTGGAGTCACCTCATTAGAAAAAGGATTTAGCCATAATTCACCCACAGCCACAAGTGTGCTTCCAACTAGGGAGTACAAACACCCAAGGCTAGAGCAGCCAGGACTCTGGAAGGATTACTGGCCACTACCTTCATGAACACACTCCATGGCAAAACAATCTACTAGACAATATTTTAGTGAGACATCTGCATGATTTGGGGCTGGGAGGTGGCTCACAGCTGCAGCAGCAGAGACCCAGCTCTGTGACTGACAATGGATAAGGGCTACATCCCACAGCACTTCCAGCATCTATAAATACCTCCACCACAATGCCTGCTAAAGTAGGTTAAGCTTAGAGGGCAAGAAATTGCAATTGGATTAAGATTAGTTCCCTCAGACTGGAAACTCCCAGAAGCAAAACCTGAGAATGAAGTCTCTAGACTCTCCAAAACCCACTGGTAACCTTTAATATTATCCCTGATGCTACCCTGCTTGGAAACAGCATTTGTATAAATAGGGTTAAAGCTCCCTGCCCAGAGGAGTGTGCAGCACTAGGATGGAACAGCAGCTTCCAGCCCAAACTGGGATTCAGGCAATTTCTAGCTGGAAAACAGCATTTAACACCTGGCAAACCCAACACAGTCCAGTGCCAAGCCTGGTGAAACACTGCTGGAGAGAAGCTGGAGGGCTCAGCTGTCCACACAGGAGGTGCTGCCAGACCAGGAGTCTGTGTCTGCTCTCACAGCAGCACTTTGCTTCACCCAAAATATTCCTGCAACCTGTGCCCAAGGCAGCCACGGCATAACCCTGCAGAGCTGAGCTTGTCATGGAGCAGCTGTCAGGAACAAAGGGTGACAGTGCCCTGGGAAATTTATTGTACAGCACCTGGAACCTCTCCTGGTGAACAACAACAATAAATTATGCAAAGGGCCA